GTATAAATGCTATTTAAAAAAAATCTTTATGTATATAGCTTAAGTATAGTCTTAATAATTACCTACTTTTTATTATTACTTAGCCTTTATAAGTTAGCTATAAAATTAGCTTATAAAAGTTATTTAGTGCGATAGTTATTTATTATTTTTTAAAAGACTTTATATATAGCTGCAGTGTTGAATAGGCTCTAACAGCTAGCTGCTTGTAGTATAAGCACTTAAGTAGCAAGAGTAAGAGTAGTGTACAGTGTGCACAGCGTACAAGGTAGGTAAAGTAAAGGCAACATGTTTTTAGTTTTATTACTCTTATTTTTTCTCTGTATAGAGAAAAAAGAGGATATTTAGATGTTTACGCACAGAGGTTTACACACAAGCATTATGTAATATAGATATGTAATCCTACTTATGCGCAATTATTTATATCTAGGCTGCAACACTGCTACTGTGTATAAACACTAGTAACTTTTCTTTTTATCTAAAAAGTTACTTTCTGTACGTGTTACTTTCTTTTTATTTATGTAAGTCTATTTAATTACATTTTACCTTTACTTTACTTTATTTATTAAGACTTGCCTTAGTAATGCTGTATATTAAAATAAGCTAGTTACACTATGTAAATAGCTTTATAAATAGTATAAAGTGTTTTAAGCTATTATTATCTAGCTTTTATACACTTACTTTATAAGTAATTTAGCAGTGTATAAACTGTTTTATGTAGGGTTTTATGCTAGAATAGTGTAGGATCTTTACGTAGGCAGGTGCATAAGAAGGTGTATATAATAAGGTCTTCTTTTTTTTTTTACTTTCTTTTCTTTATTTTTTACTTTTTAAGCTCTACTGTACTATTCCCTAGCTCTTTTCTTTTTTTATACAGTGCTAATAGTAACAGATACTCCTGCCTGCACACACACACACACACACACACACAGAGAGAGAGAGAGAGAGAGATGTCTCTCTAGCCTTCCTCCTCTACCTCTAGCGCTGTTAGTGTGGGCGTTTTTAACGTCCTTGTGCAGTCTAGCAGCCTAGGGCGCATCTGTGTTACCCTTTTAACTAGTTCTGCTACTAATTAGTAGTTTATTTAGCATTTTAGTATAAATATATAAATTTTTTAGCTTTTTTACTTCTTTTTTATATAAAATGCTAATTATAGATAAGCTAAAAAGTAGCATGTAGTAGCTTTACTATTTTATAATATTAACATTATTTTGCCTACTAGCACTAATCTGCAGCTATAAGTAGCAAAGGCTTTATGTTATAAGAAGTACTTTTATATAGTTTTAGTTTAAAGTTATAGTTAAGTTTTAGTAAATTTATGTGCTTATTATTATAGTAGCACTACTAGTGCTTTTTTTTTTATTAAGTGTTATATATTAGCTAACTTCTAGGCTAATACCTGCGCCTTATGTGTATAGCAGAGCTATAGTCTGCATTATAACTACTATATATAAGAGGTAGTAGCTTTTTCTTTTCCTATATACTAGATAAATAAACTGTTTTTTTTTATATATCTTTCTTTTCTAATCTTGTAATAAAAAAAATAAGTGTGTATAATAAAAAAAAATAAAAAAAATAAGCTTTATATAAAAGTGTTATTAGTTTAGTTAGTCTAGAGCATCTTTGCGCACAAGATCTAGCTAGTCTACAGATGCTTCTATCTAGACAAAGAGGTAGTTAGTTAGGACTAATAATTAAAAAGACTAGTTTAGTATTTTCTTTATATATGCATTTACTAAGTTGTTTTTACTATTAATTTACTTTATTTTAGTAATTTTTTTTTATATAATTTATAGAGTAATATAATGTTAATTATAAGTTACTTTTTACTAGTAGTGCTTAGCTTAATAAGGTAATTATATAAAGACTTTAAATCTATGTAGATTACTACTAAAATTAGTAGCAGTTTAAGTGTTTATATAATTTACTATAAAGTTATACTAAAAGTAATTACATTATTAAACTTTTCAACTATTCTATATAGTTTACTAGTAAGGACACTCTTAGTTACTCTTTTACACTTAGTAGAATTTTAGTGTATAATGTTACTTAGTATTTTAAAGTAGTTACTTTACTTTATATAGTTTTTATTACTTAATATAATTAAGAATTCTAGCTATAAGCTAAAGTTCTTATTATTAGTAAATAATCTATTTATAAAAATAAATAGCTTTACATAATTAAGCTATAATAGTAGGAAAGTAAAACTACACTTACTATTGTCTATCTACTATTAAATTTATGTGTTAAGTATGTTAATGTTATTATGTAAAAGGTCTATAGTTTATGTAGTAATAGATAAGTTAAATGCTGCCTCTAGTTAATATATAAATGTAATGTATACCCTTTTTGCATATTACTTAACATATTATTATACAGTATTCTTGTCCTTTAAGTTAATTATATAAAGGTAGCTTACTTATCTCTTCTAAGTAAAAACTACTATGTTGTGTGTAAGTTTAATCCTTCTACTATTAAACTTAATAGGCTGCTTTTTTGCTAGAATAGTCTTACTCTTTACATAGAACTTTGCCTTTTGTAGTTCTTTTTTTTCTCTTTACGCAAAATCCTTTATTATAATGCTTAAGGTGTTATATAAATGCTTTTAGTTATTTCTAGAGCCTATGTTGTGCATATAGTACATATTTGCCTAACCTTCTAGGATATCTAGAAAGATGTCTGCGTACTAAGTTTTCTAAATATTTAGCTGTTAATATAAATTAATAAAGATTCTTATTTTATTTATAAAGATGTTATATAGTTAACTTATATAGTTATTATTCTTTTTTTATGCTTTTTAAAATTATATAATTTTATTTGCTAGAAGTTTTTCTTTAGCAGTTTCTCTCTAGAGTAGAAGTTTATACAGGTTATAATGTAGTATAGATTATGCAGGTGGTATTAGTAGTGCATACACTACTGCAGGCAGTGGTGTGTACAATTAAGGGTGTGGAGCAGGCGTTAGGTAGGGTGGCATGTATTGTTTGTACAGTAATTAGTGTAGTGCTAGCTAAGGTGTAGGAGTAAGTAATACTAGTATATTTAGTGTTAATAGCAGCATTATGTTTAGTCTACTTCTGTGCAAAGCCTTATATAGTAATAAAAGTTATGTATAAAGCCTTTTTAGTGTAATTACTTTCTTTTATGCTATATTATACAGCTTCTAGGCTTAGATACCTTTAGTGCCTAGCTATAGTGTAATTCTTTTATTCTCTAGCACTTATATAAGCTCCCTTTTAAACACATAGCTAAGTGCTAAAAAGTCTTATAGTGTCTATTTTTTAAAATCCTTTATATACACACTTAGAAAAGTAGCGCCTTTCTAAGTTCTTATATGTAGATTAGTAATTATATAACTTACATATAATTAAGTTTATAGGCTTGTTAGAGCTTTTAACATGTTAATCTTATTATTCTAGTACTCTAGGCTAGTCTTATTCTATAGTGTTGCCTTTAATATCTCTATATCCTTTATAAGTTATTTATATAATAAAAATTATTTCTTATTTTTCCTATTATTATGTAAAGTTGTTAGTTGCTAATAGAATTTTATTATAATAGTATAGTTAATTACTTTTCTAGTAAATTACGCAGGTACTGCTGTTATCTAGCTGCTAGGTTGTGCAGCTTTAATAGCTTTAGTGTGCGCCTTACACTATCTCCTTTTTACTTTATACAGTAGCAGAGCTTACTGTACAATGTAAAGGATTAATCTGCTATTCTAAGAAATAAGTAACTAAATAAAGTACTTTATAAAGTGTAAGTGCTTTATTGTTACTTTTCTTAAAAGATAAGTAATAAAACAAAGTGCTTTATAAAGTATAAGGTTAATTACTTATGCAGTAGATCGCGCAGGTACTGCTGTTGTCTAGCTGCTAAGTTGTGCAGCTTTAATAGCTTTAGTGTGCGCCTTACACTATCTTCTTCTTACTTTGTACAGTAGCAGAGCTTGCTGTATAATGTAAAGAATTAATATGCTATTATCTAGCTGCTAGGTTGTGCAGCTTTAGTAGCTTTAGTGTGTGTCTTACACTATCTCTTCTTTGCTTTATACAGTAGCAAAGCTTACTATATAATGTAAAGAATTAATCTGCTATTCTAAAAAATAAGTAACTAAATAAAGTACCTTACAAAGTGTAAGTACTTTACTATTACTTTTCTTAAGAGATAGGTAACAAAACAAAGTACCTTATAAAGCATAGGTACTTTATTATTACTTTTGCTAATTTACAGTTAATTAAATTAACTACTAATTAGTGTTAAATAAGCTCTAATAGCTAGCTGCTTATAGTATAAGCACTTAAGTAGTAAAAGTAAGAGTAGTGTATAGTGTGCACAGCGTACAAAGTAGGTAAAGTAAGGGCAACATGTTTCTAGTTCTATTGCTCTTGTCTTTCCTTTATACAGAGGAAAAGGGGGATATCTAGATGTTCGCGCACAGAGGTTCGCGCACGAGCATCATGTGACATAGATACGTGATCCTGCTCGTGCGCGATCGTTCGTATCCAGGCCGCGACGCTGCTGCTGCGTACAGACATGCAGCATGTTTCTTTAAAAGTTTTATATTTTATTTAAAAGCTTAAAGTGTAAGCTATATCTAATATTCTTTTAGCATATTTAAGTAGTGTTATTAAGAATACATTAGTGTAAAAAGAGTAGTTTAGTAAGGTCTTAGCAAAAGTAAGTAACTTAGGTGTGTAAGCAACTTGCCTATGAAGTACATTACTTAAATGTGCTAAAAAAAAATTAAATATAGCTTACACTTTAGGCTTTTAAATAAAACATAACACATGTAAAGTAATATGCTATAGCTATGTATAAAGTTTTATAAAAAATAATAAATAACTTTTATAAGCTAATTTTATAGCTAACTTATAAAGGCTAAGTAATAATAAAAAGTAGGTAATTATTAAGCATATACTTAAGCTATATGTGTAAGGTTTTCCTTTTAGCTAGTAGCTATAGCTAATATTGTAACAGCGCAGGCAAGACAATGGGTCCGAATGCGGTGGGAATCCACTCAGAGGCATATGGGAGTGCGTGGGGACTCTGAACCTGGGAATGCTATTGACACCTATAGGCCTTGTACAAAAGGATATCAGAAAACTACCAAGCTAGCTACAGGGGCGAGGTGCGACTAAATACATGAGGGAATAGGGGTAACAGCAGGGGGCAGGGCATGGTCGGGGCCAGGTCGAGGTCGGGGCTGATACGGGGGCCTTCCGGAGGTTCCGGGCGACCTGACGATTCATGAGAATTGAGTCAGGGTCGGAGCCGATACGGGGACCCTTCGGATAGGTTCCGGGCGACCTGAGATGGAACGAGAATTGTTACAAATATAGCTAATTCTTTACACGCTAAGTATAATTTAGGCTATGTTAGCATAAACTAGCTTAGTATATTTATAAAGTGTTATCTAAAGCTTAAAGTAAAGTTTAAGTAAAAGCTAGTATATTAAAACTAATAATTATATTTTTTATATTATATTAATTAAACTTAGGTGTTGCATGCTGCTGTAGATGTTTAATATAAATAGCTTTAGTTTTTTATAAATAAATAAGAATCTTCTACACGCTTTATATTAAAAAGAATATTAGATATATTACTATACCTAAGGCTATGCCTTAAAGATAAGAATAACTACAATCTTCTATGCCTTAAAGATAAGAATAACTACAATCTTCTATACCTGCTACAGTCCTTGAATAGACTATAAGCGAGTGTTAGACAGCCACTAGATTATACAACAATTAGTAGTAGAACTTCTTCTTAGACGCACAACAAGAAAATCACGTGACTAGCTAGAAGCCTTTAGAACAGAGATAACAGGCTTGGTAGGAAATGCATGCACTAAGGAAAGTGTATGTAGTGCATGTAAATTAGAAAGTGTATGCAGATCTAGAACTGCATGCATAAAATGTATAACATACTTCATAGGCGAGTTGCTTACACACCTAAGTTGCTTACTTTTGCTAAGACTCTACTACACTACTTTTTCTACACTAATACATTTCTAATAACACTACTTAAATGTATTAAAAAAATTAGATGCAGCTTACACTTTAAGCTTTTAAATAAAATATAATACTTTTTAAGTAACATACTATAGCTATTTATAAGGGTTTTTAAAAGATAATAAGTAACTAACACACTAGATAACTTTTCTAAGTTAATTATATAGCTAACTTATAAAAGCTAGATAATAATAAAAAGTAGGTAATTATTTAGCACATACTTAAGCTAGATGTGCAAGGATTTCCCCCCTAGCTAGCAGCTGTAGCTAATATAGCTAATTCTTTACATGCTAAGTATAATATAGGCTATATTAGCATAAACTAGCTTAATATATTTATTAAGCGCTACTTAAAGCTTAAAGTAAAGTTTAAGCGTAAGTATAACTATAAAAAAGCTTTTTATAAAAATCCTGTAGTAATTTAAAGCTAGTTTAACCTAATAAAAAAATATTAAAGCTAAGTATAGCATCTAGAATAATAACATGTACAACTTTAATAAAATAGGGTTTATAATAGGCTAGATATCTACTAGAGCAGTTGTTACAAGTTTAAAGAGATAAGGATAGCCAAAAGTAGTCTAGCTAGGTAACTAAGAGTAGACAACAGCTATCTAGGGCATTAATGCTAAAAGGTAGTGTCGCGTACACTAAGAGCCTTGGCTGGGGCTTAGAGCCTAGGGCGCAGCTTAGAGCCTAGGGCGCAGCTTAGGATCTGGAGATATTATGTTCCAAAGCTTGGTGTATATAAGAAGAGCCTCTAACTCTCTTAGATAGCAGAGTCACTTCATCTAATCTTCTAAACAGCTACTGCTAGGCTATTTTATCCTCCACAGTTATAAGCCTGGTTTACAGCGTAGTGTAGATAGTTAGCGCTTAAAAATTTGTGCACCCTTACTCTACTAATAGGATTGCATTATCCCTAAGCACTATGTGTTTAATTCCTACGCTTAGTAAAAAGCATTTAGGCAGTGCGTTTATTACAGAGGCTACCTTACTAGATCTGTCTCTAAGTTCTGTTGCTTAGGCTAGAAGAGTGTGTTAAGGTTGTTTTACTATATTTTACCTCTCTCGTTCCACGGTTTAAGCTAGGGGGTGTGTCGCGTACAGCTATCTGTCTATATATATCCTTCTGCTGTGCTAGCTAGGAGGTTAACCTTTTAGCAAACGCACTAGGTAGGCTATTCTACTATTTATTATTTTTTAGAGTAGTAATTACTTTTTAAACTAGTATAGGAAGAAAAATCTACCCTAGGATTAAGTTATTACAGTCTTTAAGTGCAGCTAGACTACTAATTAGCTTAGTCTAGACTAGTTAAAGCACTTTAATGTGCATATAAAGAAGTGTACTATTAGCAGCTACTGTCTGCTAGTTATTAACAGCTATAAAAGCTATAACTTACTTTACTTCTAGTAATACTATAAAAATAATAAAATTATTACTATTTACATACTTTTTTACTTATTACGCCTTTTATAGCTACTTAATGTAGGTTATTTTACTTTTTTAAAGAAGGTGTATAAGCGCTAAGCTAAAAACTTTATATATAACTAAATTACTTATATTATAAAAATAAAGTTCTTACTATGCTTTAAAGCAGCTTATAATGCTATAATTACTTTTAGTAATATCTAAAAAAAGTTTTAAAGCGCTAGATTAGTTTTTTTTAACTTATAATAAGTTATAATAAGCTTTAATGTAAAGTTACGCACTTTATTACTACTACTACTTATACATAATAAGCTCTAGTAGTTATAAACTCTAAGTAATACTTTAAAACTTAAGTTATAATTAATGCTTATAAAAATAAAAATTTAAAAGCATATAAATAGTTTACTAACTTTTATAGTTAAGGTGTTTAAAAAAGTTTTAAAAAAAGTAGTAATAATTACATATAAGCTAGTATTAGTATAATAGAAAATTACTAAGCTTTAAGTAAGTAATAAAGCTACTATATAATATAAATTATATAAAAAAAAGCAGATTAAGGTAAAAAAAAGCTTTAATAATTTAAAAAAGCCTATACTTAATAGCTTTAAAAGAGTTTAGAGTGCACAGTAATGATAAAAAGTAAACAAGCAAGTGTAAGCTAAAGTAGGTAAGTTATTCTAAATGCGCTACAGATAGTGCAATTAGACTAGACATAACATATAAATGTGTAAGCAAAAAGTAGAAGTAGTATCTAAATAATATTCTAGGCTGTACTGTACTATATAGTGCTAGGGCAGGTTATTATAGGCTATAACAAAGTTTGTTGTAGTGTAGTCTTAGCAAAAGTAAGCAACTCAGGTGTGTAAGCAACTTGCCTGTGATGTACGTTATTGTTTTATAAATTTAAGTTAAGTATATACTTTATAATATCTAATATTCTTAAATTAGTTTATTTTTATAAGTTAGCTTTATAATTACATTATAAAAGTCTACTATTAAGTTTTTAAGTAAGTGTAGTCTTAAAGACTTTATAAATTACTATATAAAGTTAAATAGTTTAAATTTAGCTTTTTTAGATTACGTAAAATGCCTAAAACCTAGATTTTTTAAATTACTTAAAAAGCTAAAATTATTTAACTTTCTTTATTAGAATGTTAAAAGTTGATTAGTAGATGTATTATTAATTAAAGTACAAGATGCTAACATCTTATTAAAGTAGACTATTTATCTCTGTAGACTACTTGCTTGTTAAATACGTTATACTTTTTTTATAGTTTATAAAAGAGTATAAGCGCTAGTTAAAATACTAGTTTAAAACTTTTATATTACTTTTTATTAATAAGTAGTAAAGTGTTAAAAGCTTTTACTTTGTTTTAGTAAGTTAGTAAAGCTTATTTATAAGCTTTAAAGTTAATTGAAAACTTTAATTTAAAAGATTATATATTTTACAAGCAAGTAGTATATATAAGCAAATAGTCTACTCTAACAACATTTTTATACCTAAATTGCATTTTACTTTATAACACTTATATTAGTTAATAAAATAACAAAAGAAATCTAATTTATAATATTTACTTTAAAATAGTATAAGTTTTAACTTAGTAACTTTACTAGTAGCAGTAGCTACAGCGTTGTTAACTTTATAGTATAGTAGCTAATTCTACTCTATTCTAGATTATTTTCTTTATTTCTTGCTTGTTATTTAATAGCTTCTCTAAATCTAATTTATTTATAAGAGTTTTTTTTATTTTTAATATAACATTTTTTCTACTTTATAGTGTACTGCAACCTTATTTACCTTTTTAAGCATTGTAATTTACTTTTATAAAAAAGTTACTAAATATATGTTGCGTTTGCTAAAAGGTTAACCTTCTAGCTAGCGTAGTAGAAGGATATATATAGACGGATAGCTGTAGGCGACAATATATTTAATAACTATAGACTGCTTATAATTACTTAGTTAGACTAAATTTTAGTTTATAATGTAAGGCCGAGATAGCGCTTACGTGCGACGGGTATATATACTATTCTGTACGCAACAATTAACTGTTCGTTAATTATTCGCACCTTTTTAGTTGTATTAGCGCAGTGGTACAGAGCTTTGTTCTTACATATAACACTTTTTAAATGCTATAATCGCTTTATAAGTAATGTATTTTACAAGCAAGTAGTCTATACAAGTAATTAGTCTACTTTAACAACATTTTTATACTTAAATTACCTTTTAATTCACAACACCTACATGAATTAAATAAATAATAAAATAAAATCTAATATATAATATTTACTTTATAAATAGTATAAGTCTTAACTTAGTAACTTTACTAGTAGTAGTAGCTATAGTGTTGTTAACTTTATTGTGTAGTAGCTAATTCTACGCTATATTAACCTATCTTCTTTATATCTTTCTTATTATTTAATAGCTAACTTAAATCTACTTTGTTTATAAATGTCACGATTAGCATGCTTAAGCTACAAGCAAGAGGTGGTGTAACCTAACTAGATTAAACTAAGGAGCAGAGGAGCTGCTCTGCGAGTTTAAATATACATGTGTGCTCTTAGCTAAGGCGCTACTCGTTGCGCAAGCGAGGGAGCTTGAGTCGCAGAGCATGTAACGCGGTACGCGACGTCACAATTAACTTTATTCTTTAGCATTGAATAGCAGCAGTAGTATAGTAGCCTGCACTATAGGCTCTAGATTGTCCTATATAAAGTAAAATTAAGCTGTGTTATTCTTAATTATATTACTATCTACTACTATCTTAGCCTTAATAGTTAGTAGCTAGGTTTTAAATCTATACAGCTTACTATTAAATCTAGTTAGTGTAGGAAGGACTAGCTTTAGACAAGAGAAGGTAGTCTCAAATCAATGTGTTAGATGTTCAGAACTACAAGAGAGTGGGAGAGATGGTATTTCGTAGTAGTAATAATAGTAAGCATAGCTTATAGCGCTTAGTTCTTAGCACATAAGCTTTAAACTTTTTATTAAAAATTAGCTTATAAGGTCTACATTTTAGCCTAGAGCTACTATATTAGGTTGTTTATTATATAAAGAAGAAAAAAAGTATAAAAAAGTAAAAAAGTAAAAAAAGTAAAAAGCTAATTATATACGTGTATAGTAGGAGCTAGAGCGCAGTAACTAAGCTAACCTATCTCTAGCAGAACCTAGAATTGTGTGCGTGTAGGTCTGTTAGATTAAAGCACTGTTTCTAGGCTTCCTGAGATGAATGATGGGTTTTGATATGATGTATGGGATGATGATTGATTGTATTGATTTATCGATCCTTTTTCTGCTCTACTCGTGTTGCTCGGCTTTTGTTTTTCCATCCGAGTCCCTCGCGCACTAGCCCTATGCGCGACCAGCTTGCAACATGCTGCAATTTGTTGCAGAATATTGCAAAATGCTGCAAAATGCTGCAAAATGCCGCAACATGCAGCAATTTGCAGCAACATACTGTTCGAGCTTATTGCTCGTACTATGTAGCAGCTTTCGTCAAGCGTTCCTCCTGTCTTGACAGTAGGTGCGCATATCTGACAAGGTCGCGCTCTATCTCTACTATTAATATAACAGGGTATGTTAGCGTCTATTAACCTAGAATTGTGAGCGTGTGCGTGGGCGTGTGTTAAAAAAAACTTAGGCGTGTGCATGTGCATATATACTTAAGCTTTTATGTCACCTAAGGAGTTTAATCTAATGTCACAATTAGCATGCTTAAGCTACAAGCAAGAGGTGGTGTAACCTAACTAGATTAAACTAAGGAGCAGAGGAGCTGCTCTGCGAGTTTAAATATACATGTGTGCCCTTAGCTAAGGCGCAAGCGAGGGAGCTTGAGTCGCAGAGCATGTGACGCGGTACGCGCCGTCACAATAAAAATAAAAGTTTTTTATGTTTAACAAAACTAACTAGCAGTGTAGGTTGTAGAAGGCAAGTAGTAAGAGAGAATAGATGTTAAAATTAGAATTATTTGCGTAGAAAAGATACTAAGCTTATAACAATTGCAAATAGAGAGGTTATGTAAGCAGGCAGCTATAGTAGAAGCTAATAAAGTAAAGTGTATTGTAAGAGTTAAGCATCTAAGTACTCTGCTACTAAGCATTTATTTACACCTATAGCAATAGAGGCAGTAAGGGCTATAGCAATAGCTAAGAGGCTATAGTGAAGGTGGTAGGGGCTATAATAAAGGCAGTAGGTGCTATAGGAATGCTATAGATGCTATAGTAAAGGCTATAGGAGCTATTATGGCTTAGGGAACGAAGATTTCTGTATCATGAATGCGACATATACTCCGGCTGTCAAGGAATAAGAGGGTTCGAGATGGAAAGTCGTCTAATGTCACCTCAATAAGACCGGAGGAAGATACGCCTTCCCATTCGCCAAGCGACCCGGGTCCCACCAACAAAAGAAACTAACGGGATCTTGTTCTTAGTTCTATTTCACCTATCCCACATGCCACAACCCCCACTGTTCCACATCACGTTCCATCGATACAGCGATAGAGCTGACCCACCTCCAGGATTCTGTCCGTACGAAGAGCCACCAACCGCAAGCGACTGTGTCCGAAACAGAACTCTTCGCTCAACTATACCTCCGGCAAAACTAACATAAAGAGGAGCGTGAGTGGACGCCAACCGACCGCTGAAGCGTTTTAGGGCAGATGAAACTATAGCCGATATCAAGTTGTAGAGGATCCGCTCACCTCTTCCTTCATGCATATTCTCCTTATCATAACGCTAGGCTAGAATCCATGAATACTTGCAATGACACGGAAGATTCTGAGGTTGATGTTATAATGCTCAATGAACCCCCGGCTGCTCCGTCTAAGTAAAACGCCGAAACTGTGGAGGTCAATCTGCAGCTAGTCCAGCAGGGTTCCCAGCTGCATAAACAGCTCACTGAAAGAGCCAAAGACCACACTGCAATAGTCGCGTCTAATTTTAGGTGTACTAGAGAGGCCACATCTTCTAGGTCGTCCAGATGGTTGTCGAGAATGGATGGGTAGCAGAAGAAATCATCACTGTCATACAAGCCATCGAAGTCAGTTAAGAATCCACTTGATTGAAATGACCCAGGACCGGAACAATTGCATCTGTGCCTTTCAGCTCCCAACAGAGAGTGTTTCCTCGGCTGAAAGCTTTGTAGGGGGCACGACCAGATCCCATGCTGAGTCCGAAACAAGCATTCAAGAGCATGCCTTTGATTGGACAGTTGAACAGCACGTGTCAAACTACCATAAATCATCTAGAAAATTTTGACTTGGCGGTTCTAGATTACATAGCTAATTGGCGCCGTTATCGGAATCATTCGTGTTGCCAAGTTTGAAGGCTTGCGGTTGGCGAGACCTTCACAATGCACCAATCCCGCCTCCGTCAGCTAGCTGTGGGCGGCTTAATCCGCCAAAATGAATTCCCAGCTGAGAAGCTGTTTGTATTCAGCTCAATGTCTCCCAGTTTATTTTCTGCCGCGAGCCCGTTCTCCTCCTCGCTATGGGTCTTCGCTCAAGACTAGTTTACGAGGCCTCATGCGACTACAACACTAACATAAGGACTTCAGCCTTGCCATAAAGAAACTCACACACTTTCAAGATGAGTTGGTGGAGAGGCTGTGACGTGGTCCGTTGCGGACTCTGGATCAACTGGAGTATGTCGTACCGTGACCTTTTTAGCTTTATCTTACATGCATAGGCTCTGACTACTACGGCTCCACCCTAACTTTACCTAATGAATGGGCCTTGATTCTCGTTGCATTCCTGGCCCTGTTGGTCAAGCTCGCGGGTAGCTATCTCTGGGGAATAGTCTGTTTCGCCATTCATCAAGTAAATGCCTCATCCCGGCCCCAGGATGACATGTACCATCATTTTCAACTCGTCCTCCGCAATTCAGAATCCGAATCCAGTTTCGTCAGGAGATTACTCACCATAGGTTTTTCACATAAAGGCGCGCGATTCGAAGCCTACAGGCGGTCATTATGGCTCATCGTCCTTGCGGCGTTACATGGAATGGGCATATGGGCGGCTAGTACTCTATCGTCACGTTTCATCACAGGAATTGACGAAGTTCAAGTTATCCCGGGAAAGTGTGGGTGGATGAGAATAATCTCCATGGATACTCTGGCGGACGAAGAATCGTTTGAGGCTTTTAATTCCCTAGTTGTGATGATTCGGCATAGTTATCGACGAAGCGCGGCTTACTCTCGTGCATGCTACGCTCAGATGGGGACCAACTCAACAGTCTGTGCGTCATATAAGCAAAACACACTTCCGTACAATAGCAGCCATTCCGCCCCATGCCCTTTCGACGGAAAAATATGTAACGGCTCGGCCATCACCTTGGACACAGGCCACCTTCTCTCGAGTGAGCATTTAGGCATTAATACGCGACCGGAAGATACAGTGTCTATGCGAAAGGTCCTTACTTGCGTCCCACTAGCAGGAGAACAGTACGCCGATCGTTGGCAGGAAATCCCATATAATGGAACCAATCCGAATTCAACAGATATAGCAAGATGCTATAAACTGGGTGCAACACTCCAAACGCCGGTCCCAGGGACTACAGTTTGTGTATGGGGCAGTTTTCTGTTCTGGGGTGATCAGCCATACAACCTAGTGTGAGTGCTCCCCGCTGCTCTTGACTACACACCAGGCGCCAATGCTTTCCCAGCGCTTACTAAACAAAGATCGGCCTCGGCATTTATCAATTATCAAGGCGACAAAGCCCGTCTCATCGAACCCATCCCCGAGCTCCAGTCCTCGGATTCTGACTTTACACTCATTGGACTTATCAATAGACTCGCCTACCGCACTCCGGTTGAGGATCCTTGGTTCAACGCTCAGAATCTTACCACGTGGGAAATTCCATCTCCGACGGATTTCTTCACAGCCACAAATGTAATGTCCTTCATGGGATGTCAAGAGCGTTACCAATTCTGCACCGCGGGTGAGAGTTATTGCTCCCCTTTCACAGGCATCTACGGCATAGATCCGGCAAACTCAACGGGCCTGAACCCTACACAACTGGCTCTCTTTAAGCTCCTGTGGAAAGTTGGATGGACGATACAACTCAATTTCCAGCTCCTTTTCGCCGGGCGCGAGAACCTTCTTGCCAATGATTACCTCTGGAACGACAGCCCTGACTTTCGCCTCTCGGCATCTCTTCCGTCCGATCATTGGCAAAGAGAGGTCGCTAACTGGATGAATACATCGCTCGCCGCAATACAGCGCCAAATATACACCTATGCGAGGCCTACCGAATTCGATGTCGGTCCTGGTATACCCACCTTGAAGTTCATCGATGAACCTGACGATGAACACATGAAACTCCTTTGCCACAAAATCAAAGCACGATCCCAATCGCACCAATCATTCAACGTCCAAAGTCTCTTCATAGTTCTTACAGTTACACTCACCATCATGGCGCTCAATTTATCACTCCCAACAATCATGAGCTACTTCCAGAAGCGGACAGGAAAGGGCCTGCGAAAGAGGCTCGAGTGGATCGAAACTGGTGCGTTTCAACTTCAGAGAATAGCAGCAGAGGGGCGAGGGATTGGCCCGTGGAACGGCAGGGAGGACGACGTGCCAACTCTCGTAGAATATGGACATCTCTTTAACTTGACGAACCTGGGCCTAAGAGGGAAGTGGAGTCGAGTGGGCAGCTATGAAGTCGTAGGTAGAGGAGTGAACAACGATGAAGGTGAAGAGGTCGGGATGGATCGTTTAGAGAGTGTGGCGAGCAGTCTAAGGGTGATTGGGATGGATACAAATAGTAGTCAAGTGAGGCTATTAGACCCCTAACTTGGGAAGACGCACTCCTTCGAGAGACATAGGCTAACCAGCAATAACCACACCTGCTGAATCATATCGCATGACAGGAATCGGCTCCCCACTCAAATGGAAGAGCGTGAATGATTGGAAATCCTAAATAGATAGAGCTCTTAAAAGTATGGAGTGATAGTGATGGACGCAGCCTAGATTTTTTTTTGTAATATTGTCAAGACCACTTGGGGTAAAATAAAGATTTGTGGCGTAACGTATAGATCCTAAAATCCTATCAAATCCTCGCAAGATACCACACTTTTAATAACCCGAGAAACCAAAATATAATTCTACAAACTAATCCATCCGACACGCTCGGAATAGCGTCTAGAAACTAAGATGCGAGCAACGAACCTAACACAGAAGTTTAACGACTACTCAGCAAGATCACGAAGATGCAGTCCTGAGCGTCTTGTGTATAAGAACAACGCAAAAATCAGGTCACAAAAGTGAGCATGCAGATAGTCCATTCTCTACGAAGGAATATTACATTTTATACTTCCGTTATTCCTCATCAGATGCACTACACGGGCAAAAGGTTTATACGAGGGAATGGCGCGCCTTGATAACTATCACATATAGACTCCAAGCCTGATTATTTGTCTAGCCGTAAGCAAGAAACCCACCTTTTCATGTGAAGCTTTTTAGGAGCACTTGAGCTATAAGGAACTGAGTTGATTGCAAACGGAGGGTACCTTAAAAGTTTTGTATACAAGGAGTGAGCTATAAAAGGGGGTAAGCTAGGCAGGAAGTGATTAATGAATACGAGCAGGTAGTGAAGCTCCATAACTGCCAGACTTGTCAACAAGCAAGTCAAGTATACTGTAGAACAAAGCGCTATGCCTATTTAAGACGCATTAAACTGTACAGGAAGGTCACTAACCCAAATAGGTATTCAAGTCAAGTTGATCCTTGAAAACACCACAAACTCGCTTGTTAACAAGTGGGATAACTGTAAACATTTCATCACTCTCTGCAAGCAACGCGATAAAGCCAAGTCCACACAATATGATTCACATGCTTAATTACTTAACTACTTAACTAGAGAACCCCTTGATATCCGTCTTCTTACTAGGTACTCATCGCCAACGCAATAATGCCCAAGGCGCGCATCTTAGGACCATACGCATGGATATTGAGACCACGCTCTTGGCTGAAACCTTTAACGTTCTCGAGACCCTTTTGGAAGTTGGTGTCGCATAGGCAGGTAACGTCCCTCTCTGCGTAGCGAGGTGCCCTCTGTTCGAACGTAACTACCAATGAGCGCATGGACATTTCAGGGCTCATAGGCTGACGCTCGAAGCCAGACTCTAGAGAGATAACCGAATTCATCTGGGACGAGGATAACATCGACTACGAAGCCTATCATAACTTAGATAAACTCGCACCAGATCTGTCTTGGCGTACCACGACAGAGCACGTCAAGACCACAGTAGATATAGTCTCTGTGAATTGCTGCCTTAGAAATTCGTAGTCAATCCAATATATTTCCCTGACGCATAATTTTGCATCAACTAGTACTGGAAATACATCTATTTCACCTCCTGCCCTTTCCTACTGTTCGCCTTCGGTTCAATCCTTCCTGCTGGCATAACGCCAGCTTACCAAGATATCCTGATCGAGTGTCGACTGTAACACGTAGAAGGGGTACTTGTACTTGAAATTTCAGCAACCGAGAATCTGTGCGCACTTTAGTGTCTGCAATAGTTTGATATAAGTTGTATGCTATGGCTACTCCGAAACATCTAGAATCTTTTTTAACTGAATATTACGTTTGCACTGTGTGAGAGGTATCGAGCGGGAAGCACAAGGGGGGCAAGGTGCAAAGTGTGAGTATAATCCCAATGTGTACAAGATTTTGATGGCATTGACCAGTTGCATGCAGGTTCGTATGTGCAACAAGCAGCGAGACGGGCGATACAGTGCGGCTCACCAGCTACCGCTCGCCCCGTGGCCGCGAACGACTGCTCCGCACCACCAAGATATGGGAAGCAGGCTGAGCGACATCAGCAGCCTCATCCTTCTTCGATCCCATCACCATCGGCGACTTTGGGGAGAGCTTCATTGACGGGGCAACAGGAGCAAACAACCCAGTGTATGAGGTGTGGAATGAAGCCCAAGACGTGTGGCCGTCTGGCTCGCTTGAAGACAAGGTCAAGTGTTTAGTGTCGGTTGGGACTGGGGTTCCGTCACTTACGCCGTTCAATGACGATCTCTTCGGCATTGGAGAGAGTCTGCTAGTGATTGCTACGGAGACAGAGAAAACAGCTGAGCGATTCTCCAGGGATAAATCACGACTCGACGATGCCGGCGGGTACTATCGGTTTAATGTGTTGAAAGGATTGGAGGATATTAGACTGGAGGAGTCGAAGCAGAAGAACGCTATCATTGCGGCCACAGATCGATACATCGAGTTACAGGCGGTATTCAAGCAGATGAAGAAATGCGCTAATCGGATATCCGGGAGAGAATGTTAGTGTGTTCTGTAGCGTGGCTTTTAGTATGTAGCTGACCATGCCTCTTCCTTAGATGTAGGAAGTTATAAAACAGCATTTAGCCTACAAGTTATTCCTGTGGTGAATAAGTTTGTCGACCGAACATCTGATATGGAGGAACTGGAACTGGCTCTTCTGCCGCAGAGACAACACGACCGCCGGAAAGTGTTCGTGCTCTACGGACTGGGCGGAATTGGCAAGACACAGCTTTGCGTAGAGTTCGCAAGGAAGCAGCGGCGCACATTTAGCTCCGTATTCTGGCTTGATAGCAGAACAGAAGATAGCCTTAAGGAGAGTATTGCGACTTGTGCGAGCAGGATCCCGGAAGGTCAAACAGCAGAGAGCAGCAGAGCGTATTCAACTACAAACACAGGAGATGTCGATGCGGTGGTAAGGGATGTGATGAGCTGGTTGAGCCAGTCAGATAATAGGGACTGGCTAGTCATCTTCGACAATGTCGACAGAGAGTGTGGGGTGGACAACGCCGATCCTGACGCATACAATATCACACACTACCTCCCTCGAGGAGACCATGGATCGGTCTTGATTACGACCCGACTTGCTAGCCTAGAACAGTTAGGTAGTTCACAGAAGTTAGGAAGGTTTAGTGAAAAGCAGGCGGAAGCTATGTTCCAAAGCCGATATGGGGGTAGCTGTGGTAAGATGACAACGCTTGGAGCCATTACGCTGCATGCACAGAAACACCAGCGCTGACCGTCCCGGAGTAGATTCTGGCGAGAGCAAGGAGCTATTTAGGCTCCTTGATGGCTTGCCACTAGCAATTGCACAAGCTAGCGCATATCTACGTCAGAGCGAAATCAGCGTTGCAAAATATATCCAGCTGTATAATCAGCAATGGAAGAGACTTATGGAATCTCAGGACAGAACCGGCGCGCCGCTTCGAGATTACCCCGACCGCAGCGTGTTGACGACGTGGACGATCTCGTACAATGCTGTTCGGGCGAAAAGCACGGCCGCAGCGAACCTGCTTCTGCTCTGGGCATGTCTCGACAACAAGGACTTGTGGTATGGCCTTGTTGCAAGAGCAGGAATGAATTCTGCAGTGGCGGAGTCCTTGCCACGGTGGCTGGCTCGCGTCGCGAGCGATGAAGTTGAGTTTGTTGCCGCAATGCGACTTTTGTGCAGCTACTCCCTTATTGAGGGCTTGCAGGACCTATCAGGGTATGAGACTCACCCAGTTGTGCACAGATGGGCATTACATATGCAAGATGAGGAACAACGGACGGCCTTTGCCCAGCTTGCTGTATTGATAATAGGTTGGGCAGTGCCTGAGACTACGGAGAAGGAGTACTCCAGTCTGCAGCGGCGACTTTTGCGTCATGCACATGCTTGCTATGAGTGGGTCCTTAAGTAAGTAGGATATAGTACTATTATGCGAGGATAAGCTAACGCAAGCAGTACGGGCTTTGGAGAGAACAGTACAATGATAGACGCGATTAATATGTTAGGAGTGCTCTTCACGGACCGGGGTAAGCTGGGTGAGGCAGCCAAGATGTTTAGGGAAGTGCTGGAGAAGAGGAAGCGGATCCTCGGCGACGAACATCCAGACACCATCTCAGCGATGAACAACCTCGCTTCCACGCTCGGAGACCAAGGCCAGCTGGACGAGGCAGCCAAGATGAAGAGGGAAGTGCTGGAGAAGATGACACGTATCTTCGGTGACGAACACCCTAAAACAAGGGAAGCTACCGAAAATCTAGATGTTTCACTTATGCGTATAAAAATTTCTCGCTCTAGACGCGGCAGTGTTTTCAGTTTCTACAGCTAAAATGCTATAGGTAACGTCAGCTCTTGTTTTAGGCTATCTACAACCTTACTATGATTTCCTATGTATGAAAAGATTTGTTTCTTTTCTAATTCTCTCCTCTATTCCATTTCTATTCCCTCTGCTCTTTGCTCTTCTGCAGCCGTTCTATCTATTACTGCTAGTTATAAATCTAATAATTGTATTGCCTGTCCATACTACGTGCTTGTACGTTAACGCTAGGGCATCCTACGCTAGTCGGCGGTAGTACATGTCCTTAATTAGCTTGTTCTAAGCAGTGGACTTCTACTAGTAAGATTATTGTCGCGCCAGGCTCCTGTTCTTTAGTTCTTACACATGTGGCGTTTCAAGTGCATAGGGTGGCGTAAAAGCTACCCATACTTTGTCACCACTAGCAGAGATGACATCCAACGCGCTCCATCCATAAGTTGTGACGTGGCGAATCTACGAGAGGTGAGTTCGTTAGCCTGGAGGCATAGAGTAGCTACGGTTAAGTAGGATCGCAATACTGCAAAACCCAGGTTAACCCTCTGAGTGACACTTTGCACAGCCACAGGTATGAATACTACAAGCCTGCTTGGCGCCCGCTATAAGTAGATTCCAATGTGATGATCATGTACAAGACTAATGAAAACTTAATGGGCTATTCTAAGCCTCTTAATTTCAGGTAAGACCGCTCTATTAGTGTTATAAATAGTAAAAGCTTAACATTGTTCATAGAAGGGGTCTTAGATATTCAAGAATAGCTATAGTATACAACTTATAGAATTGTGGTATACTCTAACGAGTGCGCTGAAATCGAGTTGCTACAGGTTCAAGCACCCCTCGTTTGTCTCGGCACAGATCGTGTCTCGGCTCGCGGAGAGAGACTTTAGATCGTACAGTAGCGTAAGGTCTAAGGAGCTAGAGAGAGCTCCGAGGTGATTAAATAGAGGCCAGATGATGCTAATCCCAAAGAGGAGGCGCTAGTCCTAAGCCGGGCCCACATTCACCCGAGGCGATGGGCCACATGAGACGAAGTCATGGGCAACGGTTAGGGATCGCACGACTGATCTGGATCTAGACGCCGTGCTCAATAAGAGAGGAGGTGATTCCTCTCGGGGCTGCCATGCGATGTTCTCGCTAATTCGAACCTATCAATCGTTCTTCGAAGCTTAAAGCGAGGCGTCAGTGTTAAGTGTTATGGCAGATTTGGAATACAACGAATGAGACTCAGAACTAGTACAAATGCTACATTAAAAAAGAGTTTCAATGTGGGGGGCCTCTTATGTAGACTTAGATAGGCATTAATGCTTAATTATGCTACAAACATGCCACAGAATATGCGAGAGTGAAGAAAGAACAAGACTTTAGGAGAGCATGCTGACCACATCCCACAGCTCTCAAATGCCGGGTTTCTAGTTCAGATATCATTGGCTTTTTGCCCAGCCCCTGACCAGGTCTAGATTCCCCTCCATAATATTCCATGTTGCCTTGAACTCCTGGCCTGCCTCGTAACTCTATGCATTAAAGTTTAGCACTGCCGATTGATCTTACCATATTGCTCTGGTCTCCTCTATATGCCGCTATTTCAGGCAATAGGTGGAGCAATACTAGCCCCGGTGGGGTATCATGGTACCAGGTCGCCGAGGAAAATGTTAGCCACCGAGGCGAAGTCTGGAGGCTCAAAGAGCAAGTCATGATATGAAACAATTTAGTCAAACTGATCAAGGCTTATTTTGATGGGATGAGAGAAGTTTCGAAAGTGCAAGAGTCTGGGTTGCTGGGTTGGCGGAACAGCGGGTAATCCCTATCAACTGGGGGCCCACGGTTAAGGGAGGGATTCAGAAATGGCACGAGCATTTCTAGGCGTGGGGTTTGGAGTGATAAGAATATATCAAGAGGGTGGCCAAGAAACGGGTCCTGGATTCGAGCGCGCACCAAAACATCTGTAAAGCTTTGGTGAAGCTTTTGGAAGCACCAGAGGCATGAGGAACTGGATTGATTGCCAAAGGAGGGTAACTAGGGGCCTATGTAGTACTGAGTGAGCCTGCCATGTGACCTAAGGCTACATCTAGCTTAGGCAGCAGCAGGTGAAAGTAGTATCAGGTGACTGGAGCTTGGAGAGCTCCGTAACTGCAAACAGAATCTGTACCACATCACGAAGAGCGATCGGGCCGAGATCTAGGTCGAGGAGAGAATTAGTACGAATTGCGGCTGAAGAGGAGTCGCGAATTCATTCTGCGGTGCAGTATGCGAGAATGAAAGCAAGCGAAGTCTGGAAGGCACTCGGGGAGGTGGGAGTCGATCACGAGCGAGAATTTGTGGAGAAAGGATGTATTTGCAGAACCACGCCAGGAACGTTGATGGGTTTATCCAGGAAGAAACGAAAAAGTCAAATATTTTCCCGTGTAAAGCGGGAGGTGCCTAGCAACGAAATATCTTAATGGGGAGAAGAAAGCCAGAATCTCATGTCTTGCAGGAGATGTTGCGAGGAGGCAACCGATTGTGCGTATGGTATGATGCAAATGTATGTCGCAAAGATTGTAAAAGCTCTGGGGAGGTGAATGTGTATTGGCCAACTACGACTGTGCCTCCAAGTGCTATTTGAAAAGATCGTTCCTATGCCTTGTCCTTGATCCAAACTTGCTCAACTTGCTATTTTTCACGGAACCACTTCATTCTTGTGCTTCTCCAGGAACGCGTGAAAGGATGTCAACGGCACTCCCCAACGGCCCACCTCTTCAATGTCGACCAGTCTGTCTAAGTCATTTGACATGGTTTGGCCTGCAATTAGGGGGTTCATGATCTCTGCTTCTGTCTCTTCCTTGGTGCGGTATACTATCTCGATGTCTTTCCCAGCTGCGCGGCTGATTTCCTTGATGATGTCCTTGATGGACAGCTTCTCTCCAGCCACACTCACAATCTGTCCTCTAAACTTCTGGGGATCTTGAAATGCCGCGGCTGCAAATGCACCAATGTCATCTGGATCAACAAGGGGGAGGATCGTGCTCGAATCGTAGCTGTTTAAGAACTTCCCGATCCGCATTTCGGGAAACATGATGGCTACCACTGGTGCAATCAGATTCGTCATGAAGTAACCGGGGCGAATGATGGTCCAAGGAATGGTTGAGTTTTGAACCAACTGCTCGACGTCTCCCTTTCCAAACACTGCTGGAGCTGTAATCGAATCGCCTATCTTCGAGCGGATCTCGGGGTCATTGAGTGGGAGCGTTGTCGAATGAACCACATGCTCCACACCCGCAGCTTTTGCGATGGAAAGTATTGACGATGCTTCGCGAGTTTCGGCGTCGTCAGCAAAGGACGGCATCTGGTTGAGGAAAAGGGCATTGCATCCTCGAATGGCTGCTTCGATCGAGGAGGCATCTCCAAGTGTACCTTTGAACGGAGTGGCGCCAATAGACTCCAGTGCCAGTGCTCGGGGATCCTCAGGATTGGTGACGAATGCATGGACTTTCCATCCCAGCCTCAATAGATGGCGAGTGACACCAACGCCTTGTGAGCCGGTCGCGCGAATGACCAAAGCAGCTTTAGTCGACATATTGGCGTCCGTAAAATGGGTCGGACTAGTGTTTACGAAAAAAAAAAACAGAGACAATTCACGGTGCAGTAGAGGGCTATACACCTGTAGGTGACCCGAGTAGTATCAGTGGAAAGTAAGTAGTAACTAACTTATATCATATCCAAAGCGGAGACACTTTGGATCCCATCGGAAGTCCGCATTTGCAACTCCACGTGTAATGGAGTTCCGCAATGACAAATCACGAACCGCAAATGTGCGCTTCAAGAAGGATGCCCTTGAAACAAGGTTCCCTGGACTGTGTCCCTAACCTTGAGAGACGATCGAAGTGAAGAGTGAGGAATGAGGAGGGTGCAACGGTCCGCGTTTCGTCCATTGTCAATCGCTGACGTAATGGTTCGCCTTAACGTTATCGATAGCATACCTCGAACCTCGCAGTGGATGGTAACCTCTGGCTTAGACAGCAAACCCTCTCTCAGACCCCCTCGCTGTCGTCCGGGCATGCCTCCGGACCGCAATCGTGCCTCCAACCCCCAGGGGAGACAAAAGTCCTGCTTAGAATGCGCCAAATCGAAGCGTCGCTGTGATCTACGGCATCCAGCCTGCCTTCGCTGCACCAAACAAAATCTGACATGCTCCTATCCCCCACAACCGTCCGCTGGCGATGCGTCCACTTGGCAAAGCGACTCAACTCCTCCCGAATGTGATGCAGCTGACAATGTCTTCCATTTTGACATGCAGACATTTTCTAATTCTCAGCCCGTTGGACTCATGGACTTCGATGTTGCTCCTGGTGAGGCATCATCCTTGGATGCACTGAACAACCTGTTCAATACAGAGGAAGATAGAGAATCATATTTCCCCCTTGCTCGGTCAAACTACGCCCAAGGGAAATCGTTCTCAGCATCGCACATATCTGACTTTGCCTACTCGCGCGTCAAATACTGTATCGAGGAGTTGAAGCGCGCTCCCATAACGATGGTTTCAGAAAACCGAACGCCTTGGTCCCACCCGCTTCTTTACGAAGACTACATGCCGCGGTGCCTTCAAGGTAGCATTACCATTTTTTTTTCCTGAACCTAGGCCTGATAAATGTAGATGCCCATGCCGCCTGCGCCCTCTACATAGCGAGGAATGATACCAATGACCTTTTCGTGGCTCGCCATGTCACCGATCGCGTCAAGGAACTACTCGACAGCCCAACCCCTGCTGTACCTATCGAAGTTCTCGCCCGTGCACACAGCCTTATACTCTACCAAGTTATTCACATTTTCAGTGCAGATGTGAGTGTCTCTAGAGGAGGTCCTGGTCTCTTCCTGCACATATTGATAACTTCCCCCACGCAGATACGTTACCATGGCAGAGCTGATGCAACTTTTCCGCATCTTGAAGAAGCGGGCCGTTCATTGCACTTGATTGTTCATCAAGAGTCTGACTTCTCCGATCCCATCCCGCTGTATCCCAGCGCCACTGCGCGTTCGGCCTGGAGAGACTTTATCTTCCGTGAATCGAAACGCCGGACTCTTCTGATCCTGTTCCATTTCATCGCGATGTGCAATCTACTTCGTGGCTCGCAGGCCTCTTGTTCCCATGAAGATGCTCTTGGTAGTCGCGTATCATTCTCGGCACATCTCTGGAAAGCCGCCTCCGCATTTGACTTTGCCATCGCATGGAACCAGAAGAAGCATCATCTGGTACGTGATTTGGATCTGTCTGAGCTACTCGACACGGCCCATCCTGACGACATCGATACATTTGGAAGGATGCTAATGACAGGGCTCATGGGGATCGATGACGTGAAGGGATGGTTTCACACTCGAGGCGGGGCCTTTTGAGGATGGTGCAGAGCAGCCATCATCACTTTGCTTTTGCGCTTGGGATTGTCCATGGGCTCTCTTGAGCCTTGTGCAAGGCAACTCCAATGGCCCATGACATCGTTTCATCTCCACAGAGTCTTGTAAGCTTATGCACCTTTTATACCTTCCACATGCGGGAATTGAACCGAGTTCTATGGGGGCGAACACCTAATCGGCTTTCTAATGTTGAGCTCTGACTAAATGCTTGTGGACTGTGGTGATCTGAGTGAGGGACGCCAAGCACCCACTGACACCCTCTGTGATCTACACGGGTCGACCCTTAGCTCTGGGTCGGTGAGTAGCTCTACATCATATCCACCGTCAGATTAGCTAGTTAGATTAGCGCAACCAGTTTTCATGCTTCCATGTCTCAGATCTCGTCTCTTCCTCACTGTTTACGAAGTCGAACACGAACGCCTTCCCAGTTGGGATAGTTACGAGGTACGGAGATACCCACAACACGATAGGAAGAATATAGGCCGATCGATGGAAAGGGAACTCTATAAATACTCTAGGAATACGTAGCCGCGCCAGAGACTCAGGCTCCGGACTCGGGATCAGCATTCAATGAGACTTGGCGACCCTGGGAAGGATTGTGGCAGTGCTGAGCCTTGCGCAGAGTTTTCCCGTCTAACTCTCTTGCCAGAACGAAACAAAGTTGACGCCTACCACGTGTGGATAATGGGTGTCGGAAGATTTCTGGGGTAAGCGATCCCGCCGTCGATCCTTCCCGAGGTCAGCCTCGTTATCTATGGTCGGTGCTAGGACCGCGAATGCAGGCTGACAACCTATGAAGCATGAAACGAAACTATCGTTACTCTCCTTAGAACACCATTTTCCAGAAGTGTGATGGTACTGATTCTTGATTGTTGCTCCATTCTTTGTAGGCCTTATATGAAAATATTCGTGGGGACTGGGAGTCTCTAAACAGGTCGGGCAATCAGGTAAGCTAATCTACGCGTTGCTCTCCCCAGGTGTCCTCACATTCCACATCTAAACAGTGGACACTGCTAGATGTGCTTTTGCAAGTCTAGCCTTCCATACCCCCGCTCTCCCACGACGCTTGGGGGATGAATACGGTAGAATTTTACACTTTGTCCTGAAAGCAAGCACGCCACCAACGTTCTTGATGACCCCACTCGAACTCCACTTCCCAATCTTCGAAATTACCAGATAATCTAACCTGGAAGAGCCGGAGTAGCCAAAACATTCTCCTAAGGTCGCCGAGGTGTCTCACCTAGGATACGGAAATTTGTGGTAGTGCCAAGGTTTCCTGACTTCCTCCTGTGGACTGCTTCCAGCAGCGAAGCCCCAGGTCAATGCTCCTTGTTGGGATATAAAACGTGAATGTATCTCTGGATGGAACCATTTTCAGCTGCATCACTTTCCTCTAATCTACCCCTTTTCTAAATCGCTCTGTTACGTATTTGATTCTCCCCCAAATTGCCAATTGTTTGCAAAGTCCCCTAGTACTCTGCTGTGACCCTCCCACAGCTGCTCTGACATCATGCTCTTCTTTACCAGAACCGCCGTCCTCGGGGCGACATATCTTCTTCTCGGCATTTCCAAAGCCTCAGACTGCCTCGACGGGCCGTGGACAAATGTCACCTCGACGGGTGCACTTACTGGTACCGAGTTCTGTGCAACCAAGTACCAATCTGGCGTCGTCATTACTGGTGTTGAGGCGTGGGGCAATACCAATTGGGTTCGCGCCATTCAGTTCTACTATTCGGACGGAACCAGCAGTGGCCAATTGGGAAAGGTTGACGGGCATCGCCATGCGCGGATTGACTGGGATCCTTCCCTAGATCAAATCAGCCAGATCAAAACCCTGGGGAAATGGATTCGGGTTACGTTTAGGTCGCGTCTACACCGGTACAAAGAAGGGGACGGAGCTTGAAGTTGGGAAAAACACTGACGGCCAGAACGTCTTTGAAACCAACGTTCAATCTGGCATTATACTCGGCGCTTTCAGTCGTTCTGGAGATAGAATCGATCAGCTCGGATTCCTATTCCTGAGAAGTAAGATTGACTCGATTACTATTGATAACGTTGTCTTCAAAGACACGCCCGAGGCGTTGAACGAGAAGAAGCAGTGAGTCCGCCCCCTCGGCAATACTACCCTATGACATCGCTGATGGGTCGTCCAGAGGTTTAGAGATGGTGACACTAGACTATGCCGACCATACCAATGACCACCCAGATGCTAACGAGACCTTCACTTTCGGAAAATCTGAGACACGCACTACGAGCAAGGAGTATTCGCAAACGGCTACGCATACCTTTGGCTTTACCGAGGCTATCGAAGTATCTGGAGAGATTCTCGGCCTCGGCGCCAAATCTACTACAACGCTCAGTTATGAATATTCCTACGCGAGCACCGAAGAATCTAGTAAAGAAGATTCTGTCACTTTAACTTACATGGTGGCTACTACGCTCAAGCCTGATCAACGAGTTTTTTGCAAAGCGGTTGCCATGAGAGGGATATATAAAGGCGAATACAATGCCAGAGTATTGCCTTTCATGTTGTCCCTATTTCACCTGGCTAAGATTATTCTAGGTAAACATTCACCTCTAGGATGGGATGACCTTTGGATTCAATGAGGGAGGTTCAATGGAGCAGTTTCAATGGAGCGAGGCTTCGTCAGTATGCTAAGACAAGGAATTTTCGAATACGAAGAGAGCTATGAAGTTCATTGCATAGGCAGACGAATGGTCATGAATGCAAATAGGTAATCAGTACTAGCAGGTAGTATTTTCTCTTCATCATGTATATTTAAGGTTCAATCTCCCCAACTTCAGTTCTGATTTAAGCTGTTGCAACCTCACCTAACTTCTCTTGCGCTCCGAGAACTACTAGAGATTTCTAGAAGTCCTCAAGCGCTAACATCTGAAAAGAACAGCCAGGTGCCCTGCTAACTAGTCTTGCTGAAATGCAACTCGCTCACTTGCTCACCACCTAGATCATATCTCTCACTCTTCCGTTCTTCGGTCTGGTCCTCCCATTCCCCACAGTAATAATGAGATGAACATCGTTCAGCAGGTCGTCCATAATCGTAGGAACTCTGGCGACAATCCCTATCCACGGCATGCCGATCACAAGCCGGATCACGGTGTTCTCCACACCGGGGAGAACGGGACCTTGAGTGTAGGTAGCGATATTCCTGGCTGTATACATGCCTATCGTGGTGATACGAGAGTCTCGCAGAACGCCTGTCACGCCGAGCCTGGATGGATGATGGTGCCGGTGAACGAGCTGATCGGCGCATGAGAGATTCATCCTTCGCGTGTGAATGTTCATGGTCCCGCCAATTATGCAAGCCACGAACATGCTCTTGATTCTTAGCGACATACGCCGCCATTAGAACGGTAGGCTGCGCAGGCTCAGGCGTGCTCCATTTTGCAGCCGCAAACCGAGCGAAGCTCTCGCACCAAAGCGATGCGATCCAGTCCATCTCCTGCCTCGTGAGAGGGTGGTGGCGATACGGACACAGCAAGCCAAACTCGCAAAACTTTCCCGTGCAAAATGTTGTGTAGCAAAGGCCAAGGTCGAACTCCAGCGTGGATCCGTACTTGCCGGGGTTCACCTTACCATCACCGTTTCGGAATCGATGGGTTTTCCTCACCTCGTCGTGGTAGGCTTGAAGATCCATCGCTGTGGTTGGTGTCGGTACGTTGGACTGCGCGATCGTATCCCTCCTCCGATACAAAGAGGGTCGGGTCGATCTCTCGCTATTGTGTCCGTATCCACCTTCTGGTGTTCGTCCGCCATTCTCCACTCTGGATGGATCACCTGAAATGGTTAAATCAATGAATCTGATGGGAGAATGACATTCGCTCACCCATGCGTCGCGTTGGCGTTGAGTTTCGACCCCCGTCACCTCGCCCAAACACTTCGTTATCTTCGCAATAGGAGGTATTATGAGTCGTACTCTCACTGGATACAGCGCGTTTCAAACGCTCTGGGAGAGGGGAGTTGGGCCACATCACGTCTCTGGGGCTTTTTACGTAGTTGTCGGTGCGCAGTGCGGAGGTGTCCTCGCTGAGGCTTTGGGAGGGGTGTCGCAATATACCTAGCCGGAGAAGCCTCGGCTCTTGAGTGGTGAAAGTTCGCTATCACTGCGTATCACGAGGTCGACGGTTGCCGAATCTCGCTAGCGCTACTTTTGGGGAGTGGCATTGCCTGTGAAATTTTACGGCTTTCTTTTTCACTTTATCCCTTCTATTCCAACTTGCATGTTTATTCAGCTCGCTACTAGGGAGGGAGTAACATGGATCTCAACTTGTGGCTTTAGTGGGCCACAGGGCTAAACTAATGGAGCGATACACTCCCTTTCATACGAGAATTCAGGTGTACTATCGAAGTCACCAAAGAATGTTTCATGCCTCCTGAGCAGCATATTGTCGTTAAAAGGACGGAACGAATTCGGAAGTGGACGGGAGGAAATGCATCTCTCTAGCACAGCATCCGACCGACGCAGATGCTCGTATCTTGTTCAGTTGCTAGGAGAAATGGTAGATACGAGGAACGGCACGGCCGCCTGCCTCGTCGTCACAACTCATTTTCTTGGTGTTCCGTGAATCTCCCAGCTAGCATAGTTGCTTTGATTTGACTTCTCGATCAGTGTACATCTTGCCTAAATGTATTTTAATACATTCCTCATGGAGCTCCTTTGAAAATCCGCTCACTCGGTGTCTTCATGGCTTGAAGGTAATACAAATCCCACCCTAGCCAGTTTTGTTTCTTTGAAAGGTTATTACACGATATTCTATTCTTTCATACACTTGGGAAGCAGATCAAGAAGGAGTTAACGTTATTGATCGAGTGGAGGGTATGGAGAAACAAAGCTAGCTATAGTAAGATCCAGTTCTGTGGAAAGCAAGCTGTGTATGACGACATACTATGCATCTAGGAATGTCAACTATGCTTACAGTGCTCTGCAAAGTTGGTGTGTATACCACCGTAAGTGACAGGCCACGACCACGTCCTGGGCCCCCAACGCCCAAAACCTACTCCTGCGGACCCTTTAAACGAGCCGCGCAACCTTTCGCTCGGATTTTCTAGCGCTGTGCGCATTTTAAAAAGTCTGAGCATATCTGATAGAGCCCTAAACCACCATGTAGGGCCCATGATTGGTCCCCTCTAGGCGAAGGGTTTTGTGAGAGGTATCGAGCAGGAAACACAGGATAGAGGGGTAACGAGAGAGAGTAAACCTTAGGGTCGGAGGCAGAGGTACGGAGGCCGAGGAGCTTATATACCTAGTGCCAAGCCCTCAGGCCACTCAGGGGCCAGATAACCGTGACAGGTTTCTAGTTTACACCTGTTGTGATCCTAGGCATGTAGGTGTTGTTTGAAACAGGGTTGTTATCGATCACGTGATCTCAAGTAATCGATCAGGTGACTAGTTGATTACTTAAGTGCGATTATCGCAATTAGATTTAATTAATTGTGATTAAGCGCTATTAAGAATCTCACAATTCTTGCCCCCTAATTGCGTTCTAAATATTATGCAACTACTAAATAAAATCTACAGCTTAGAATTAAAAGTTTTACTCTTTTTCTAGTGTTTTAAGCATTCTGTTTACTTAATCACATTTGCAGACAGTTGTAATTATATATATAAAAAATGCGTTTAAGCTTAGCACTTATAGCTAGAATTAATAAAACATTAATTGCTAACTATGTATAATAGCTATAGCTGCTAGTGTTGCTAGTTTTCTTTTAGCTACTAAAAGAAACCTGTTTTAGGTTGTATAATAAAAGACAGTTCTTTTTTAATACAGTTTTTAGGCTTACTTACACTTATTTATCTTTAAAGTAATAATAATAGTATAATCATTTATACTTTGTTTAATATATTTCTTTGTTGTTTTTTACTAGATAATAAGTATAGCTCTACATATTACTTAGTAGATAACACTATTATAATAATTAAAGCTTAAAATTAAGTGTAAGTTTATTTAAATTAACAACGTTAATAAATTTTTAAGATAAGAGATATATTAAGCTAAAATTGAATAACATTACAAATAAATCCCCCCCCTCCCCCCCATGGACCGTACGAAAGTGCACTTACGGAATTGTACGCAAGGCCCGCTCACCCGCGCCTGACCGTACGGGGAAGTCCATTCAACAACAACCCTAGTTTGAAATCATGACTAAATCAGAGTTTAGGCATGACTCTTTCTTTATTAAGTGTGCTTCTTCTAGTGTTCTTCATGAACGGAAACGTTAAGTTCTGAAGTTGATGGCCTATTCTCAGTTTTTATTCCGGTGACGAAGGAGTGGGGGAATACTTGTGGTCTCAGAGCCACAATGTTGTCCGTGACATCTTTATATCCCTTGAGACAATAGTTAAACTTGTCAGCGACGAATGCGAGTAACAAGGGTTGGCTTTTCATGTGAGATTGGATATCACTGAGAAAATCGGCACGGCTTTGAGCCAAATTATGGACCTGATGACACCTCCGTCTTCCGAGAGACTTCAGTCGACGCAACTAATAATACCCCTATTTTGAGTGAGCACCGAAGATATCGTACCAAAGGAAAAGTTATTCATGGGTGTCGTTCGCTATTATGAACCAAGAGAGTTCACTTACAGACCTTACAAAGATAGCCATCAAGCCGGCCTGAGCTCGGGTGAAATTCATTGTCTATGTTTTCGCTGGTCAGGGTGCCTATTATGCAGGCGTGGGACTGCAGCTCCCGGAGGTTATCGAGTTCTAGCAATTATTGGCTCCTTTAGGCTCTGAGCTGGCGCGCCTAGCATTTCCGTAATTAACCCCTAGTGAGCGACGAACCTAAACCGTATGAAGATGCGATTATAGTTTCAGTTTCGGCTTTAGAAGTTCGCTGACCTCCCTAAGATTGACCGGTTTTCGTTGGGATATAGATTTGGGCTTGTGGTGAAACTTTTTCGCTCAGCTGGGCTATCTCTTCCCCGTTTCCTATTAAGGAATAGTCTACTATATAGTTGCCTGCGAGCTCTCTTGGGATCTAGAGACCTTACACCTCGCCTTAATCTACCTAGTCTGGCTCTCACTACCGAATTGACAGCTCGCATCTCTATATGCCCTCCATCAGCTCTATCTACGCTCCCTGCGATAAGTTCTAGGCTCCTTAGTCTCTTCCGTATTTCGAGGAACCGTCCAAGAAGATGAGCAACTCAACTTGTTCGGGAAGTTTTTATAACCTTACTTTGATATAAAAATGTGGAATATTGGCGGCAGAAAAAGATGGTTTATGCGAACAAGGCCTTGTATCAGCCTTGCATGTAAGAGGCTGTGGAATGCGCCAAGCTTCATGTCAATACAGGCTAGGAAGCCCCAGGTATCGCAGATTAGATGGGATTCCCATAAAAGTGGAGGGCCAATCAGAGAAGCCGCAGTTGAGAGGATTATCGCCTGCGTGAAGTCCTCGAAAGTGGGTTATGAAGCATGAATCCATTCTGCCGGTAGAGCAGCTTAGAGGCATTTTTCCTTCCAAAGTCAAGGGGCTAAGCCTCTTATTATGCCATCCTAATCCACCAGATATATGATGTGGATTTACATCGCAAAGGTCTCAAGTCTGGATTGAATATCGAGAAGAAGTGGTGGCACAGTGCCGAGTTAACATGGACGAACTCAGAGGGAGGAGCCCTAAAATAGCGATGAGTGCTTAAAAGTCTTTGTGAGAGCGCTAGGACCCCTTCCGGAGGGCATTTCAGAATTTGATGTCTTACTCTTAGTTGGGGGTGCACAGTTGCTTCCCTATTCGCTAGCGGAGACCTCAGCTGGCCTACCGTATGCCTCATGCTGCGACAATCGAGACATCCCCAGGAGCAGCTTCCTTCTTCTTTGTCTGTACCTATGCTGACGCGCGAATATTCGGCTTGATTCGAAGTGGCGCAGAGCATGCCTAAAGAATGTCTTAGAAAGGATGTTAGGTTTGGGTAAGAAAGAGAGTGGAGTTGAGCTAGCTTCGGGCTGCCTTCCCCCGCCTCGGGACTCGGTGGGGTGGGCCCTAGCGTGACATCTACATTATGCACTCTCGAAACGAATGATTATACATGGTGACTGTGTTAGTTGTGCCCCCCATCTCGTCTACTACAATATGGGATATAGCCTATCACCGTTTGCTAATGTCCCTTCACGCCGCTGCTATGTATCCTTAATACCGAGATGCGCAACTTGTAGCATAATGCTTGGCTTATGCCTACAGCCTAACCTTGCGTGTAGAAGCCAATGGAAAAAAATTCTTTGTAGCCTTATCAGTGGGATATTGCCTCTTCTCTTTCGTATAAAATTTTGAGCGTGATTAGGCGTGGCGCTGGCGGTGCATTGCCTGTGTGAGTCTTTCTGCTCAGAGTGAGGATCGGCCAACACTGCAGCAAATGGCGCACTCCTCACACAGCACGGTTCCCGGATAATCTCGATTTATTGTGGTTAAAAAAGAGGATACTTCACTCATTATTCGATACATGACGCTTCTCCATCTACAAGCCCTAACCACTTGTAGTAAATGAATTGCGTTAGGAAATGCGCTATCCGGGTAATTGCAACCCGAGGGGATGCCCGAACCTTAAAACCACGTCGAGCCCACATTTCCTCTTCAACGTCCTTCCTCGCCTTCTTCTTTAACATTCACGATTTCATATCCCTTGCTTTACTATAAAAAAAATCAACCATGCCGCAAGTACTCAACCCCATCCTCCCAGGCTTCAACCCCGACCCCTCCATCATCCGTGTCAAAAATGACTACTACATCGCCACCTCAACATTCGAATGGTATCCTGGCGTTCAGATTCATCACTCGACCGATCTGGCAAACTGGACTCTCAAAATCCGCCCATTAAATCGAAAATCCCAACTTGACATGCGTGGCAATCCCGACAGCTGCGGGATCTGGGCGCCTTGTCTTTCGCACGACGGCGAGAAATTCTGGCTCGTGTATACTGATGTTAAACGCAAAGATGGGAGTTTTAAGGACACGCATAATTACATCGTCACTGCGGAAAAGATAGAAGGACCATGGTCGGATCCAGTGTACGTCAATTCTTCGGGGTTCGATCCGAGTCTTTTCCACGATGATGATGGCAGGAAGTGGTTCTTGAATATGATACAAGACCACCGAAGACGGCCCCGATCCTTCGCTGGGATTAGAATTCAAGAGTTTGATACCAGAGCTGGGACGCTAGTCGGCCCTACAAAGACCATCTTCTACGGCACTGATCTGGATTTGGTCGAGGGTCCGCATTTGTACAAGCGTAACGGCTGGTACTACCTCCTCACTGCCGAGGGTGGTACGGCGTACGAGCACGCATGCACACTGGCGAGATCAAGGGAAATTTGGGGACCGTATGAATTGCATCCGCAAAAGTATATCCTGACTTCCAAGGACGCGCCATACGCTGCATTGCAAAGAGCGGGACATGGGGATATCATTGATACACCAGATGGGAAGTCATACTTAGTGCATTTGACGGGTCGGCCCACAACACATAAGCGAAGATGTGTGCTAGGGCGTGAGACAGCAATTCAGGAAGCGTATTGGGGAGAGGATGATTGGCTGTATGTCAAAAATGGACCGGTGCCATCGCTGAGTGTCGAAGTACCCGGAACGCGCGATGACTCTGAGTACTGGGCTGAACAACGATATGTGTTCGACAATTCGAAGGGTCTACATCATGACTTCCAATGGCTCCGGACTCCAGAAACTTCGCGCATCTTCAAAATCGAAAACAACCAGCTCCAATTGATCGGGCGTGAAGCCATCGGCTCCTGGTTTGAGCAAGCCCTCCTCGCACGTCGCCAAACACACTTCTCCTACGACGCCGAAACTGTCATCGACTTCAGCCCAACCGACGAGCGACAATTTGCCGGTCTAACAGCCTACTACTGCCGTTACAACTTCTTCTACCTAACTGTGACCGCGCACGCAGACGGCCAGCGGGAACTCCTAATCCTGAGCTCTGAAGCCTCTTGGCCGGAAGGCCGGCTTAATTTACCTCTCGCCGAACCGGTTAAGATACCGAATGAGGGCAAAGTAAAGCTCGGGCTGAGCATCCGCGGCAAGGAGCTTCAGTTCTGGTATGCACATGGTGAAGGGAAGGACTTGCAGAAAATCGGACCTGTGTACGACGCCTCGATATTGTCCGATGAATGTGGCGGCCACCAGGCTCATGGGAGTTTTACGGGTGCGTTTGTGGGATTGGCTTGTTCGGATGTGAATGGGACGGCAATGACTGCTAAGTTTGATTATCTTGTTTATCGACCTGTGAGGCATGAGACGGACCGATATGAGATCTAACGGCTTAAGAGATGAATGAAGGATTCAAGCACAAAATAATCCGCAGTTAATGCAGTTAACGTAGGTGGTAATAGAGTTAGCTACTCCACTCAACTTATCTACCAAAAAAGCTGTACTGTTGAACAAAGTCTTCGAATACTACTAACATTAAGCTATCTGTGAGGCTAGGAGGAGCACCAGAGGCATGAGGAACTGGATTGATTTCTAAAGGAGGGCAACTACAGGTTTATATAGTACTGGGTAAACCTGTCATGTGACCTAAGACCAGCAATAGCTCTAGACCGCTGCAGGTGGCGTAGGTTGGCAACAGTAGGTTAAAGAAGTGTAGGTAGATAGAGCTTAGAGAGCTCTGTTACTATAAACATACCCCCTAGCTTAAATAAAGTAGTTATAAACTTTTTACATTTTTATTTTAGCAGTGCCTTAGTAAGGCTGTCTATATGTAACGGCACAGGCAAGACAATGGGTCCGAATGCGGTGGGAATCCACTCAGAGGCATATGGGAGTGCGTGGGGACTCAGAACCTGGGAATTGCCATTAACACCTATAGGCCTTGTACAAAGGATATTAGAAAACTACTAAGCTAGCTACAGGGGCAAGGTGCAACTAAATACATAGAGGAATAGGGGTACAGCAGGGGGCCGGGCAGAGTTAGGGCTAGGTTAAGGTTAGGGCTAATACAAGGGTCTTCTAGAGGTTCTAGGCAACCTAAGATAGAATAATTAATAAGAATTGTTACACTACTCCCCCCTCTATAAACTAATAGTTGCTATTAGTAGTAATTATAGTACAAAGTATTACTGTTATGTCCTCTGCTTTCTTAAACTAAAACTAGTCTAATTTAGCTAGGTGTCCTTGCTAAGTATTCCTTTGCACTGCTAGCAGTGTCCTCTAAACTAAACGCTATGCGTGCGCGTCTGCTTTAATAATGATCTGTATAGATGTCTAGCCTATTAATAATTAAGACTTGCCCTTTATTCTTTGCTATCTATGCAGTTATTAATCTTAGGCGTGCGTTTAGTATAGTAACATTTAGGCATTATTAGGGGTAATTTAGTAGTTAGTAGGGGTTAACTAGCAGTCTTAGCTAGATTAGCTGCTAGAGGTTAACTTTAAATTAGGTAGGTCTAGCTTTAGGTTCTATAGAGGTGGGTTTAGCTGTTAACAAAGTAGTAGTTAGTAGTTAGAGGTTAGTAGTAGAAAGTTAGCTATTAGTAGTTGTCTTTAATCCTAATAAGTTATTAGTAGTCTTTAGGTTTATACTTTAGCGCATTCTATGCAACTTTTCTAAAGGTAATTTTAATTATAGAGAATAAAAAGTTTTAAACCTAAAAGCTTTAGTTAATAAAAGGTCTCTAGTATTTTATCTATAAACTAAGTAGTTTAATATAACAGTGTGTAAGTATTATAATTTAAACTAAATTAGACATGTCTTAGAGCTTAGACATAGTTATATAAATAATTAGTAGAATATTATAATAAAGCTGTTACTAGTAAAACCAAGTTTTCTAATATAATGTAACAGCACAGGCAAGACAATAGGTCTAAATGCGGTAGAAATCCACTTAGAGGCATATAGAAGTGCGTGGGGACTTAGAACCTAGGAATTGCTATTAACACCTATAGGCCTTGTACAAAGGATATTAGAAAACTACTAAGCTAGCTACAGGGGCAAGGTGCGACTAAATACATGGAGGAATAGGGGTACAGCAGGGGGCCGGGCAGAGTCAGGGCCAGGTCGAGGTCGGGGCCGATACGAGAGTCTTCCGGAGGTTCCGGGCGACCTGAGATGGAACGATTCATGAGAATCGTTACACTATAGGCCTCTAGGCTGTAGGTTTCTAGTAAATATGTAGCTAACTAGTAAAGATCTTCTAGTATAACTAGCTTTAGTCTATGTTAACATGTTTAAGCTTAGTTTAAAGTTTTAATAAATTTTTTATATCTATTTTAATTATTTCCTAATTATTACACTAGATAGTAAAGTTATTATTAATTAAAAGCTAAAGTTAGGTAAAGAATAGCTTCTACTACTCTATGTTAGTACTTTTTGCGTCGCTAAAGAGTTAACCTTCTAGCTAGCATAGTAGAAGAATATATATAGGCGGATAATAGTATGCAACAACTGTATGCAATAGGACTTGCTTATAAAAAAGCTAGAAGCTCTAGCTTTGTAATTAATTTAGTAATAGTATACTATAAAGTAGCTTTTTAGTCTACTACTAAACTAAAGAGCTTAACGAAATGTTTATAAAAGCTTTAATAAGTTACTAGACTATTTATAAATATAGTAGTTAATACTTTACAAAGCTAAAGCTTTCTATAATTAAGCTTAGAGAATAGACTATTTTAAAAGTCTTTTAATACTTCTATTATAAAATGTTTTATATAAAGTAAGTAGCGCCAGCAATGTAGAGCTGTAGCTAGATGCTATTAACTAGAATTAGTAAAGTAGCACGCTAATATTACGTGCGCATGTGTAATCTTAAATTATATAAATAACACTAAGTAAGTATACTAGCTATTAATAAAGTTTAGTTCTGTTATTATTAGTAGTTTTAGTAAAGACTTTTAAAGTTTTATAAAAAACTATATTACTGTAAAAACAGGGTATACACTTTGCAATTAGAGGTGTGTTAACTAACAAGGGCGTGACTGTAACATAGGAGTAGGATTAGTACCCGCCTAATTTCTAAGGCGATCCTCTGCTCTCTAAAAGGGGTTTCTACAACTAGCTATATACTTCTTTAGAGAGCCAGGCACGGCAGCGCTAGTAGCGACAAATCTAGTATGCTGTAGGTCTAGTTTAAAGTATTACCTGTCTAGGATGCCCGGCTTTTAGGCCAGGTAGGCGTTATCTGGAAAGTGCGGGGTTGACGGCACGGGTCCGGAGTCGTCCGGGACTGCCTAGTGCGGTCTAGGCCAGGCTATGTCGGCCTAGGACATACCTGGATAGCCGGTTGTTACAATTACATAGTTATATTCTACTTTACTTTAAATTAAATTTAGTAGTAATCTTGTTAATAAAAAGAGTTTAAACTAGGTAATGTATTTTATAAGCAAGTAGTTTATATAAGTAAATAGTCTACTCTAATAAAATTTTAGCACCTTATACTTTAATTAATAATACACCTACTAGTTAATTAGCCTTTAACATACTAATAAAAAGATTAAATAACTATACTAAACTACTTGTTTATTTGTTTATTTTTACACAAGGACTTTTATACAGTTAAAACAGCTTTATCTAGCAGTTTAATGCTTTTTTTTATAAATTAATTATATTTATATTACCCTATGCCTCTAACATTTATATATGGGCTACGTCGAAAGCAGAAAATTCCTCCCCGCCAGCTCGAAGGTCTCATCATCCAGTCGCGCCGATATCCGCCGCTGTCAGGGGACATAATAGGATAATGAAGCTGCCCTTAGAGCATGGCTAGGACTGCTTTACACTGTGCTCTTATCCTGAGGTCAAAAAAATTACATGGCGCTGGCGCGAAATTCCTTAGCCTGCAGGCAAGTAGGGGTTGGCTTACCAGGAGCTGTTGCTGTCTTCTCACTGACTTGTACACACTTCATTTGGCCATATGTTTAGACCATCCGGAGACCTCTGATGTCTTACTCGAAAGTATGTCTAAAGCGTTTTCCCTAGAAGCTAAAGACCGATTGGCATGAATTCATCAGAAAGGCTTTGTATATCGCTGTAGGGGATCGAATTTCAGGCTTCTCAATGTTCATCGTAACATCGGCCAGCCTATTCACACTTTCATTGACTGGATTGCTAGGAACAGTGTTCAACAGGGAAAAGATCCCTTGGCTGATACAGTTGGGATAATTCCCTCAACTTCTTAAGTTTTTGGGATATTTTAACGGTGAAATGGGGTTAGCTGGGAATCCTGTCGTGCGTGAATTTATTCCGTCTATATATATTCTTCTTCTGTGCTTGGTAGGAGGTTGACCTTTTGCTACTTGCAACAAATCCCAGAGGAGCTAGAGAACTTTCACAAGAGTTCCCCCATTGTTCGAAAACTATATCGCAAGGTGAGCTGGATGGGCTGATCGAGGGCATATATAGAGAGGGGAGCAGACAATTAGGTATTGAGAGACGACCTAGGTATATTAAGGTGAGGTGTATAGTCTCTAGAGCTCGAGAGAGCTCAGAGGTGAATATATGTAGTAAAAAGAGCGCTAGTCCTAAACAGGAAAAGGGTGAGAGGCGAAAGACCTACATTCACCCCCGACGCAGGGTCACGTGAGTCAATATCACGTGTGACACGTTATATCTTTAGCGTACCAGTACACTGATTTCCTTTTGGAATGGTTTTGCTCAGGGGGAAAAAGACTCTTCACTCTGCATCGACGAACAAGGTTCCCACAGCAAGTCTCTTTTATCTAAGGTACTCGCTAGTCTTGTTGACCCAGCAGAATCTCTTGTCGAAGAGGGAGCCGCGACCTGCGACCCGCGATATTTTGGTTCGTTCTTTGATACCGCTATGAGAAGTCAGGGTTGCAAAATCTGTGCGAAATCTCTGGGTATTAGTATGAGTTAGACGCAGAGGGAAATGCGCTCCTCGTCAAAGCATGCCGAGCTCAAAAGCAGAATTCCGTCTTAGTATTAATCGAGGGCAATGCTAAAGCATTTGCACTGGAATTTCGTGGGTTAGCAGGATTAGTGGTACCTCGTCGGATGGCCTCACTTTCTTACGATGCGGCCAAGAATCTGTTGTGTTCGCCATATGAGGATCCTCCCTTGGATAGGTACCTAGATCCCGATCCCGGGATCCCACCAATAAGCAAGGTCATCTCGAGAATACGCCAACCTATTCAGCGCGTGAGGCTAGGAACTGTCCACTTTAGAAGCACTCCTTTTTCACGGCGCGGATACTTCTATCCCAAATATTGTCGGACAAACGGTGTTCACATTGCTGCCAGGCAGCAGCAATTCTCCACCATATATCCTTACTTTACTGTAGAGGTATTAGAGGCCATTAGCGCCCTTGGCTCTAAAGGGCAGACTCACCTGGACCTTGCCGTTTACCTCGCTGTGTGGGGAACACCCACCAATCCTGGAAACAGCAATAAAATCATCGGGATCAACAAGAAGTACTATTTGTCAACATTCAGCGTACAAGTTTTCAAGCGTAACGCTTCAACGCTAGGAGACTCGTCGAAGCCCTCTTGAAAGGTATCTATCGAAGGATTTGTCGCACGTGAAACTGGTTCACGTGACCCGCGCAGAGTGAATGTGGGTCCTTCACCTCTCACGCTTTTTCTGTTTAGGACTAGCTCTCTTCTAGCTACTATATATTTACCTCTGAGCTCTCTCGAGCTCTAGAGACCTTACACCTCACATCAATCTACCTAGGTCGCCCCTCAATACCTAATTGACTGCTACTTGCACTCCACCCTCAATCAGCTCTAACCTTGCGATAGGGTTTACCCGGATGCGGTTTGTAGTGTAACACGTCGGACACTACAAGGAAGCTAATTGAGCTTTTCAATTCTGTGGCAAGGATATAGGTGAGTGGAGACTTCTGTAGTAAGTTATTGGGTCCCAGAATTAGATGCCAAGAAGCAAAGGAAGAAGCAAGTTTCGACGAAAACGCTAGAGGAGCGCGGAAAATGTATGAAGGCTCAGCGGGGCGCACCTGCATTGGTTACCCGAGGGAGGTATTCATTGGCAAGTCGCTCAAGCTCAGGGCTAGATGCTTCTGGGGCATTGGATGTGAGGAAGTCGATTGACAAGGTGTGGTGAGATAGAGGATGCAGTGGTTTTAACATATCTATTCTTGCGAAAGTTTTTGTGATTGGTCTTGGAGAATGAGTCGTGGTGTTCTTCGAATTGTAAGGATGAAATTCTAGCAATCTTCACGGTGGTTCTTTATATGTGTTGAAAGCGCATTGTTGCCTCTTCTGTATCAAAATGGATAGCAGATCTACGCATCGACCCTAGTCGCAGGCGTAACAGCGTACTTGTCCGCTTGGAACACCAACTCCCTCTCATTTCGCAAAGATGCCGGATCGACATAAAGCTTCAACCCCATGCCCGAACCCCCGAGCCCAAACACCCTAGCCACAAGATATATTTCACCCAGGTCTGATTCGGCCGACAGCTGCATATTTTCCATCATGTCACATTGCGGTTGACTGCAAAAAAAGGGGTAGCTCATCTCATAGGGGGTAGTCTTAACCTCAATACAGAACTTAGGGGAGCGACCTTCCCATTTTGAGCGTGTGAGGTAACCCTTCTCAATGAGAAGGGTAGTCAAGGCGCTATTGCGATCTTCGTATATGATGTCCGTAATTTCTTTATCCGGCCAGCGGACAATACCATGGTAGCTGGGGTGAACACTGATGCGGCCACGGATTCCGCTTTGCCAATTGTCGAGGTTGAATCCCGGGAGAGAAAGGCTTTGGAGCAATTCAAATACCTGTAGCATGTTAATCTGTTAAAGTTTCTCGTGCAGGGATATAGGGAGACTCACGAATAACTCTCCTGCAGCTCCTATCTTGAACTTCTCCTCTCCATCGTATGGCGAGCGTAGGGCGAGCCTAGCGTTGAGTCCAGAGTCGGCAGAGAGGTGAGAGGTTACGACCCCCCCAGCCTTGGGTAGGTCTGATATATCCCTCGCTTGACGTATCACTGCGTCTAACAACTTTCGATAAAGGTCGGGTAGCTCTGAGGGTATCGGGGAACCTAGAGAGAGTAGTTCACCCGGGCTCGGATCACTCGGGCAAGAATTCTCGCTTCGGGTGTGGTGAGTGGTGCTTGGCTGAAGGGTCGGAGTTGTAGGATAGCCAGGGGTACTTTGGCTGTCCGTTAAGTTTGTATTGCCAGCAGAGGAGTCCGAATTATAGCCTTCGTCCTCTATTGGGCGCACGATTCCGTCTACCTCGATGATACCATCAAGTTGGAGGAATTCGTCTACGACAGATAGACTCGACGCAATAATAATGGAACTAAGACCTTCACTTCCAGAGATATTCTGGGCCCCGAGGTGCTTGAGAAGTCTGGTGGGCAGGTGTCTTTCAAGGCAAATTTGTTGACGTCCTTTGCACCGTGGGACAAAGAGATTGAGTTGACCGTTCTCTGAGACGAGATGGAAGTAGGCCGTTTCCCGCTCAATTGTCACGGCTTTACGATCCTGGACGATTGATACCGTTTTTGATATGTCGTCACTGAAATAGACAGAAATTTGCTGTAGAGTTTGGTACACCGAGGAGCCTTCCTCTCCGCCCGTGTTGATCCCGAGGTGGGCCGCATATCTGACTTTGTTAATATGTACAATTTATTCGGAATAGAAATACTCACCGATAAATGGCGTAGGCTTTCTTCCTCATATCGCAAGTCAACTGTGGGTCTAGCTCATTGTCCTGCACATATGTCTTCTCCTCAACTAATCTAGAGATGTATCGTGTTCCCAATCCGAGAGCAAAAAGAAATCGCTGTAGTGAGTGTACCTCTTCGAGCGAGAAGTCGAGTATTCGGACCTTACCTTCGAACATTGCCCCATATTCTCGACGATCTACAATTGCAAAATCTGTCGAGCAATCATGCCATTCGGTAGCTCCAGATTGGGTTTTAATAGGAAGGCATTCACAGTTCCTCAGGCTTTCCAGCGCTTCAGAGGTTGGGTTCAGCGCACAGATATTTAGCATCTCCTGGAGCGCGGTCGTTTTATCTGCTTGTTCTAAGACCTTCTGTGTGAGAGCCACAATATGCATCGCGAGGCTTGACTTTGGGATGCGTAGCACTCTCGTGAAGAAATTTAGGTGGCCTTCGTATGTTGAGGCCAGGGAAAGTTTTCCAGGTAGTTGAATCCGTGCGTCGGCCCAGACGCAGGATGATGGGCAGTGCCAACACTTCTTGTTTGGGTCAAAGACTAGACTGTTCTCTTCGAACTGTAGTCTGTTCTGAGTCAGGTCTACTCAGTCAAACGAAAAACGGACTATTTTACATACCTGATGCGATGGGATTCAATCTTATCCACTGCCTCTTTGCCCAACATCTTGTAAATTTTGGGAATTTTTGCTTGTTCGTCCGCGGATGTGAGGTATGCTCTATTATCCTTAATGTCCCGAAGGTACTCCAGAAAATCGGCACACCCAGCCGTGCGAGCTCCAAGCGTAATCTTAAAGAGATTAGAAAGATGATCGTATCCTTTGATTGTGCCGAGGCAAAACTTCAGATTGAACCACTCCGGTGCCTCCCAAAGGCAGGATGTTAGTGATATCCATCGAGCGGACTCTTCAACCTGTGCTGGTGGGAGGAAAATAACGTCATCTCGAAAAGCGGCCCTAAAAACGACTTTTAGTGAGCAGCATGTTGAGGTGTGGCTACACTCACTGAATCTTCTCCACTTCCCATGACGAATCAAACTTCTGAAGGTTGGTGTATATCTCAAAAACAACATGACTCTCAACATGCACCTTGGCTCGAGCTTGCTCTAAGAGCTTCAACCAGAATGATACGTCTCCTTCCACGCCGACCCCAAACTGCTTCAGAAATTCCCATTTGCTTGCTGAAATATCTGTCAGGCCTTCTAGCTCTTTGAGGAATCCAAAATCAGCGTCGAGCCCCAGACGGCCGACAACAGCACAGAGTTTTGGCAGTGGTAAGAAAGTAGATGCAAGGTTTCGAGTATGCTGCGAGTTAAGGATTGGAACTTCCACGGCCTTGAAAAAGTTGTCCCAGGTATCTATGGTTTGATAATGGCTCCAGGCCGTCTCTAACACACCAAGGATGAATTCTGGTTTCTTCTTGGCAACATACTTGAGCTCAGTTGACATTTCTCCGATAGAGTTCCTTCGGCTAAGTTGAATCGTGTCCTTTATTTGAAGAAAGGAGTCAAGCCATTCAGGTCCTGTGCGGTCATTACGATGTCCGAGCTTTCTAAGTGCTCGATAGTAGGCTGGGTCGAGAACTCTAATCGCTTCCCTCAACTCGAGGGGAACTGGGCTCCCCAAAACTGTTGATGTTGTATAACTGCCTACCAATCGAGGGGAGTATGTCCATACATTATCTATCGCATTGGAAAACCACACACTGTCATCTCTTTCCTTGAGCCGAAGGGATACGCCTTGAGGTGGCAGTTCTGTATGGTTCCAAAACATGAACTTGATATGAGAGAGACTCTCTTTAAAGGTTCTGCCGAACAAGCTGTATCGCTGTTCAATCAACGGGAATACCCTAGATGGAGGGCAATGAGTGATCCCAATTTCAACAAAAAACCGTTCCCAACTCTTGTTTTGCAGTGCTTTTGCATCGACTATAGCTAAGGGGAGGTCATCCGGGATTTCAATCCCCCCTGATGTTGGAAAATAGATGCTCGCATTAAGCGGACGGGCCCATTTTCCGGTGCTGAGAGGCACAACAGGGAGTTTCTTGACGGAGAGCCTAAATTTGCGGGCGGCAAAAGTAAGCAACCGTGCGACTTTTGTGTGCCAAGAACTCTGCAGTGGTGTTGAACGCATGCGAGACTCGGTCCCGTTTTGGTCGAGGTCTTTTTCCAACCGCTGGAGGAATTCTGTGATGTCCAGGTCTTTTGTACCTAGTTTCCTCAAAATAGGAAGATCCAACTGCTTATCGTACGATTCTGATATATATGCAGATGATCCACCACGAACATCTAGGAGCAACGGCTGGGTATCTTCCCCTCTAAATCTTTCCGGCACAACACGCAGCTGATTCGCGTTCCAGGAATTACCATTGCTTTCGGAGACGAATAGGTTGCGTGTTCCCAAACTCGCAAGGATCCTTTGTTGGAGTCTACCCCAGAAATCATCCGCGATATGGTCGGTCGGGATGTAACTCACCCAGTGATACTTCAAGGTAGGATGACGCAGGAATTCATCGATACTGTCCATAAAGGTATCGCAGCTTCTATTAAGAAGATGGCAATTCCATTGTGAATCAAACACGTCTTCTCGGCTTGCTTGGGTAATGAAATCGGATTGGATGAGGAACTGTAGTCGGGTTAGCTACTCTGTCAGCAGCATCCGTTCACAGGTCCACCAACCTTGTATCCAACCTTTCGGAGGGGAAGGAACGCATAGACATGTTGTTCCTCTAGTACAGGGACAGTGTTTTTCATCCAGAGGGAATGCTAGGACAACTTCGGCCTGGTCGATATCTTTACGAGCGCTGTCTTTTGGCATCTCATGCACCAATTTCCTGGTGATCCAGTACAGTCGAATGAACGTAGTCGTCGAGCCGTCAGCGGTAGTGACACACTTGGAGATATTTACTACTTTCCCATACGCCGCCTTCGAGCGATACGTGTGCCTAACCTCGGGATGTTCTGCCAGTTTGATCTGGACTGATATTTCTTTCAGCTTTTTTAGAAATAGCAACAGGGTATCAGGCAGATTGATGAGCTCGTTTCTTAGTGCCTCGCGGTCGCAGTTGTCCAGGAGATGCAAGATCATCCGGGTTCGTACTCTTTTAGGGAGACTGAGGCGCTCCTCGTACATGGGAGTAATCATGCCAAGTCCATCATCTCGATCCTCGCGACGGTACTCGAACGCGAATGAAAACGGTCCAGACTGCACATGGACCTTCTGTGCGACCTTGAACACAGACTTAAATCCAATGCCCTTTTCGCCAACGTAGCCCTGTTTACATGTCTTGGTGCTTTCGCCGATTGAGCAAATGGCTTTGATGTTTGCTTCAGAGAATCCGTCCTCATTCGAATCGATCACGATTTGATCTTGATCGAGACAAAATCGTAGCCAAGGTTCGTCTAGGTCTTCTCGCGCCCTATAGTAGCGATTGTCTTCGGCATTTTGAATGAGTTCATAGACAAAGCGGGAGTCCTTTGCATAGAGGTTGGTGGCGAGTCTGATTTGGGAGAGTACATTAGCATTGTAGTCGACAAGGCCCTCTTAGGGTCATTTAAGAAAGGAGGAAGGTACGTGCGTTTTTGTCGATGCACCTAGTTTTCGCCTCTGGTTGTTATAAGCAGTGAGTATGTGCGGTTTATTTCTCTGGAGGAATTCCGTATCCTCCTTCGTCAATCCGCCATTTTCCATCCGAACCCCATCAATGAAACGACGGGCACCGTCTCGTGACGCCTGCGTCATGTTCTCGGCTCACTACTCGGGGCGTGAATAATGAAAGTAAATTTAACACCGGTATGGTACAAGCAGGTAGAGGAAGAACAACATAAAGATTGCGATCAGAAAGCAAATCAGATTTAGCCAATTTACCTCGAGCGTACCGCCAGCTATATACCCAGGCGTTTCAAGCTAGATGCCACAAGAGGGGCGAAGTTTCAGGCGCATAGCTGTGCCGCAATAGACCTCGGGTTCTCAGGCCAGTGTTGCTACTGCGCGACATCTTCCCGCTCGTTCAAGCAAGGCGGTCTCGATCCCTCAAATTTCAGCTATTGTATTCATGCCATGCTTGAAGACCGTTCAGAAGTTTCCTATTAAGTGATTCGTAAACTTCAACATGGGAAATAGAATAACTTTACCAATCCAAATCACATTTGGTTGCTTGTATCGCTGTCCCGTATTCTAGAGATACTAGCGGTTGTGATTCCGGCCTGTAGGTGCTCTCGCGGCGTGTCCAAAGGGTGCCCCAGCCAATAATTGGCTTGTTAAGCGCCCTCTCCAAGAGTCTTTTTTGGAGAGTGCTCCGTACTTCGCCCCTAGTGGAAGCACTACGCGCCGAAGGGGAACATAATACCAAACACTTTGCAAGTTGAAATCGGAAAGGCTTTCGCTGTCAATTCCATCTTCTTAATTCCGTTCTTGTCCCCGTAAGTGATTATGTCGCGGGCGGTCCTTGCCTCTTTTGCTTGTTTGAAATGGCGTTTGAAGTCGTGCTCGCTGTTCAACCGTACCAGGGCGGATCGCTTGATTCTTGTCCTCTGAAAAATCCGGGTTCTCGACTGGGCGGTATGTCTTTGTCAATCATACTCTAACCATGGGCTTTTATCATTCCGAAACGATTCATAACCTTGCTGTGAGCCCGGAAGTCAATGCAGATCATTCATATGGTTGTCTTGTGCTTTGTTGTATCCTTTCATTTCTTTGGTCCGCCTCCTGAATGGGAGCCGGTTCGCCGCCGCACTTCTTCTTGAAGAATCGGACCTAGAAACCAGACATATGGGCCCACAGTTGTACGTCAGTCTTCGAATGGCCAAAGAGCCCGATAGACGGTAGGCTCACGTCATTGTCTATGCTAGAGAGTCGGCTCGGAGACTGGTAAACTCGTCTAGGAAAGTACTCCCTAGCGTGAGGCTCAACGTCGCCGAGGGTATGCTTTTCATGTAGCAGCATGGGGAGGAACCGATGGAGGTGTTTTCCTTGCTCTATGCCTTAGTTGGATCCCGAGTGCTCGCTCATCAGCAGCATCTTTCCTCAGCTGGTTTAGCCTGAGGCAAACAGCATCCGGGGGCCCCATTCTATGCTGATATGACGACCGGCTCGACATCCTCATCTTAAGCTATTTAGTTTGTTTCTCTAGACGAAAACACCGTGACATGGCTGAAGGCCTTATCACCGACTCTACGGCCAAGCTGTTTTCATGTGTTTATTCGTGGATAGATGTTAGCGGTTGAAGAAGGAACTAAATAGCCAAGAGATGAGATATATGCCTAGGCTGGTGCAGGAGCTAGAGACTGTTCCTTGATCGGCGCAGCAGGCTCCGTTTTCCCCTTGGTGTTCTCCTTCAGTGCTGCGGTCTCCGGGGCCAGCTCATCCTCAGCACCCTTCGATGCCCATAACATCAGGTAGTTACGGGGTGGATTTACGGCTCCGCTCTTGGTTTCAATGTATATATCAGATGTTGGCCATTGACAGCACTCTTGGCGGCATAGGACCCAAGTTCTAAGTGACGTAAACAAACCAATCTTGAAGCAGAGGTCTCGTTCGGCCAAAGATCCATTTCCGAAGGAAGCCAATTCGTGAGAATGGGTTCAAGAAGGGCGGAATTCTCCTTCCAAGACGCTCCAACTTGCGCGGAATGGGGCCCGGAGCAGCGGGGGCCGATTCTGTCCGACCCAGGCTTGCATTCCAATCGGGCAGTTCTCTATTTCTCTAAAGTTAGCTCCTACTCTAACTCCTCGATGATGCGTGATCCCAGACTCGGTAGCTTGGACTAGAGATGAGCCGGCCCATTTATTCTCTTTGGCCTACTCTTGCCATTTGTGTACTTTGCCACCTAGTATTCGATTAGTTAGCCCAGCTCCTGTCTCTAATCCCCAGGCGTCATCGTCTTTCATCTCAGAGTTGTTGGACCTCTTTAAGAGCTTTTTGGCAGTCGGAAAGGCAACCGGTCGCGTCAGGAAACGGAGAGTCGGCAAGGGGGTTAACACGGGACATATTGGGTCTATATAGCTAATTTATGGAAGGCAACCACTCTCCAGATGGAAGGCCACGAAAGCGAAAGGGGTGAAGCGTTGCAATCGCACCCATATTTCTAGTGCTGGCCCACCCGCAGCACCCCACTAGTGGGCGGAAGAGCGTGCTGGTGCTGTTATTTCGCGGCCGGAATGTGCTCGACGCCGCTGACCGCTGGGAAAATCCAGGGCTTACAGTCGTATCAACTGACCCAGGAACAAACTTCAGAGCCTGCTGTTCAAGCTGCAGGTCGTGATAGGGTAGACAGAAAATGGGCCCTGGCTGTTAGTGGGATAGCCTGTACGTCGAGCTTCTGAGCGACAAGCTGGCTGGGCAGGTGGCTGGCGTCGCCCACCAGAACGGTCGTTCAGTGGTTGCATAGCCGATTCAGCTGTGAACTCCAACGTCGCTCCAGCGCCACCTCTACGACGTGTGCATTCAGAATAGAAGCAATGTCTAATTTGACAGATTACATATACTAGTTGTTAGGTGGCGCTCGCAGATGAGTGTGTTAGGTTTTAAAACTCGCACAACCGCTCCGATTTTTGCAACTCTCCTCTTGGTTCCCATTCCGAGTAGTTAACGTCCTTTAGGCAACTCCATTTTTCTCTTATCAAAATCGATATACCAATGGCCAAGAAGGACAGGAAGAAATTAGCCGACCTATTGCTTTGGGGACTCATACAATTAGTAACGCTACCCTACCACCGCTTTTTTACGTATAACACTCTCAAGCCCGCGTTAGAGATTCAAGAGTATGCAACAAGGGGCGTGGAGCGCAACTCACTAGACCGGAAAAAACTGCACTCCTTATTATGCGGCTGGCGAACTCGAAAGAGAGATGAACTCGCCTTTGTTTCCGTGGGTGTATGACAATCACATAGAAGTCCTAGGGTGAACACTCGGAAAACTGACGGATTTGGTAGGGCGTCACTATTACTGCAATTGTCACTGCCTCCTTTTCGTGGCCTGTTATTCAGGATTCATACTGGCTTGCGTCCGGCGTCTGGTATGCTTCCCTCATGACATCTGTCTGTGGGATCCTCATATCAGCGCAGCAAGTGTCGCTGCTTACGCTCGTCGGTGATCTCCCGGTGGATCCGCTAGCCGCATCTTCAAAGACAATCCAACGCCATCTTAACCAAATCCTTATAGATTGCCAGCCCCCAATCCGCGACTCCGATGAAGCTGCGCATGAATATTCTCAGCAATGGGTTCTCAGCTGGAAGCAGATCTTCACATGGCAGTGTCCTATGATGTTCTTTGGGTACTCAACTCTATTATATTTCGTTGGGCTGACAGTTATTGTGTGCACGCCCTTGATCGAAGAAAGGAAGGGCCCCACCATTAACGTAGGATTTCCTTTCAGATTTAGTTGCCGGCAGCTAACCAAACAATACTTAGGTCGCGATTACCTACCTCGTGGCTTCCGGGATATCCTGGGGTTTATTCGCGTACTGTTCTCTCGGTGGCTACCGTGCTATAACACTCGACGGAGATCCAGATGATACTGAAATCGCTTGAGGGGGCGAGGCTGGGAGGCTAAAAGACATAGCAGCGAACAGGTATGAAATGAAATAAGGATAACGTAAAGAATGTCAGCGAAAGGGGCTCTACAATAGGCTGCCCAATCAACCTTAGACATAGTGCCTATTAATACTCTATAAATTATATAGCTCCTTAGACTTGTTGTATAACTTGTACCTATGTAAGATTATAGTTACAAGCCTAGATATCGCTTCCAACATCTATTTAGCCTAATTTAACTATCTAATTACCAGCACTTATTTAAAGACTCCTTCTCTATTCTAGTCACCTGTGGAATATTATTAAGACTATTGTTGCTATGTTCTCTAAGGTCTTAATTATACTTAAAGGGTTATTCTAAGAGATTAATCAGACTAGAGGTTCTAGATTTATGTAGCTAAATAATTAACAAATAGTAGAGATGTTAAGGCTTCTATAGACGAGACTAACTCTATTATCTACAATTATAACAGAATAGCCCTATAGGGACCTATAAGGAGGCTAGATTAAGAATTTAGATAGCGTCTAGCATCTAAAGGAAAACACTCTATCTTACCTCTAACTATTAACTATATAAGCTAAATCCTTGCTAATTTAACTTATCCATTCCTATTAGCTTCTATTTAATGCATATAGCTATTGTAAGAGGTATCGAGCAGGAAGCACGAGGCACAGAGAGGGAATGCAGGATAGGGGGTGTGTAGCAGAGCTACAAGAGAGAGAGTAAACCTTAGGGTCAGAGGCAGAGGTACGGAGGCCGAGGAGCCTATATATCCCGTGCCAAGCCTAGGGTACTCAGCTGTAACATAACCGTGAAAGCTATGCTAATAGTATTATAGATTTAAATGCCTATTATATTTTAAATTCGTACCCTTTAGGTTAGTTAGATGTTTAAAACTAGCTCTAGAAGTTAACTAGTATAGGTTAGAGTTTATATCTGTAACAGGCGCTCGGATCCATAGGATCAGCGGCACGACTATATGCACTAAGCGGGAGCTAAAAGGCATGCACAAGTTAATCAGCGAGGGTTCAGCTTGCACAGTCAATATCGATGCGAGATAGGATATCCCCTAGATGCCAGCTCTCATCTAGATCTTCGATCTAGTCCGCTTGCAGTCCTAATAGGTCCAACCCGTCACAACAGCACTACAAGTATACAGTATCCTTATGCAAGATGCTAGAAACTGCCTCTTAATACTACAAGAAAGCCATATTTAGAATCTTGCATATAAATTCTACGTAGTTGCGGTGCTACAAGTAGTTGATTCTGTGGCTCGAGTGATGCGAGTGAGTTTTGTCTCCTCATAATAGTCCCCCGTACACGAGGGCTCCGCACAGCTACAGGCTAAGCTTTTTATCAATCTAAGTAAATTACATAGTGCTAGTTACGTAAGACGTGCACAATTGTATCGCACTAGTCTAGATTAACGATTACCTTCGTTAAAGGTACTAACTCGCGTAGCGAACTTGCGTGAATCTTTCTGCGACAGCAGCCACTACGCTAATAGTGGCTTTTAAACACTGCAGGGAAGTTTGAAGACTTAGGTAGAACTATTCTGTTAATTTTAGTAGCAGCAAGAGCGTAATGATAGTGCTATAGCAGGAGAAGTCTATTTCGCGGCAAAACGGGGCTCTCTACAAATTAGGCACAGCGACAGCAACGTAAGAGTAAGGTTTAGGTGCAAAAGTGCCTGCATGTTTAGGATTACTTATAGCGCATGCCTAATGTAAAAAATATAGTAGGTGTTAAGGAATATGCAGAGTTTAAGGGGTGAGAAGTTCAACTTATAATTTTTCTCACCACGGGGGATTTCTCGCTTCACAGGGATGGATGTTAGTAAGTACCGTGAGATTGTTGAAGTGGCAGGTGTACCTAGTAGGGTGAGGTATGTAGGATTGGATTAAAGAGGTAGCATCAGTTGAAGATGTTTACACGAACTGATGCAGGAGATAGTGGGTAGTGTAGGGTATATAGCCAGAGCTGCGCTCCTCATCTAATAAAATAACTTTACACTTAACTTCTATCAGAAATAGCCCGGAAAATGGCCAACTTATGTCTGTGCAATAACCTGAACGACCGGCGTAACTTCACTTTCCAGCACTTCTAGGCCATTGGTTTTCCCGATTGAAGTGTCGGGGCAAAATGCCTCAACTATCTTCAACGCCGCCTCCTTCAAAGACCCCGGTGGTTCAGTTTCTACGAGCGTTTCTTCGTTATCCCATTCATCGTCTCCAATGCTTGGTTCGATCTCAGTTACTGCGCTTTCATCGGCATCTTCTACCTTGATCACACTTTCATGTATCGGTCTGTCGCCGGGCTCACTCACAGCCTCCACTTGTCCATCGCCTTCTGACTCTCCAGATGCAAGGGGAGGTGGAACCAGTGGGGAAGAGGTCGATTGGATTTTCTCTGGCGACACCCCCTTATCTGCTAGTGCTGTTTCTGCTGCAGCATCTTTCTGAAGCGGCTTGGTCTTGGACAACAGCCCCGTTCCAAATAATGAATCCGGCGTAGGGGTTGCCGAAGACTCCCATGACGGCTCGAACTTAAACTGCGGCACACCGGTTGTGCAAGTAAAGTCTCCTTTAGGTTGAGCTTCTGTCTTTGGTATTGGCTCGAAATTGAATGGGGATTTGGATGTGAAAGAGAATTGCTTAGGCCAATCCTCGGTTCTAAGGAATTCTTTTGTTTTCGGCGACCGCTTGGTTTTGAGGGGTGATTCGGTCGTGAAAGTGAACTCTGACCTGGGTAGCATCTCAGTTTTAGAGACACCTTTAGTCATTCCCTCAGGCGATGACTTGGCTGTGGCAGGGAGCACTGTTCTTGGCGGTGAGTCGAATCTGAAGAGGTCCTCAAATTTCGGAAGAGGTTGCCCATGTGACGATCTGGTTGTGAAAGAGAACTCTGGTTTTGCCAGCGGCTCGAATTTGACCGGATCTATCTTGGGTTGCTCTTTCAGCCTAGGAGAAGAAATTGATGTCAATGGGACTGGTGCAGGCAATGCTTCGCTTTTGTACAGTTGCGAGTCCTTCGCGGATGTCAGCAGCTCAGTCCACAGCTCAGTCCGCAGCGAATCAAGTCGCGCTACTGCTCCCTTAGTGTCTTCTATATTTTCCAGCTTCGGCGCACTCGAAGCACCTTCTTCCTGCTCCTCAATCTTCGGCTCAGGCTCTGGTTCTGCAGACTCTTCCACGAGTGTCGTGTCTTCGACAAGAGACATCTCATAGTGCGCCAACAACTGTGTAGCAGTAACGGTCTCTCCACTTTTAGCAGTCTTCTTCACAAAATCTTTCCACTCGATTTTCAAACATCCGTTCGCATCATATGGCTTAGCAACTTTCGCGAATTTCGCCCAATCGCTTAGAACCTGCTTTGCTCTCTCCTTGCTGACCTCGAACCACTCCCGATGGCTCTTACGACACCACTCGGCCTTACACATGCGCTCCCGGCGCCATTCCTTGATCAGCTCGTAGTGCGTGAGGGTCTCTACTCGCTGCGCGTGTGGGACGCCGTCCACCTGGAACAGCAGATTCGGCGTGTATCCGCACTCGGACCAAGATTCGAGACGCCTCGAGACGGAGGATGCGGTCCAGCCAATCTTTACGTGTCCGGGAGAAGACGTGCGGTCGAATATGTAAAGCGAGCCGGTCTCGAAGTCTCGGTCTATCAGGTTATCCTGGATTTTGGATGAGACGGAGTCGGTGGGACCTGGTTCTGAAATGTGGGCACGGAACTCAGATAGCGGAGGTCGGGGGGATGTCCTAGATCGAACTGAGGAAGCATTTGTGGAGGTTTTAGCATCACGATGGCGGAGATTGTATCGTGGTTGGATTTCAGGGGGTATAGGTGCTATTTCAAGACTGGTGATTGAAGATCTAGAGGGCGAAACTAGGGAGTTCAACGCGCTCGAGACGGGTATGGGAGGTGTTGTATTGACTTCATTGGGTGTTGGGGTATTGTACCGGTAGCGGAGCGGGCTGGCCGTAAGCGTGGGGGAAGCCGTTGGCGTAGTATAAGCTGGAGGTGAAGTGGAGACTGGAGGAGTGGGGTAAGCTGTGGGCGTGGTGTTGGCTGTAGGGGCCGTGTAGGCTTGTATAGCACGACTGGGAGTTGATATAGTTGAGACCGTGGCAGCACCTCGGAGGGCAGTGTTTGCTCCCAGAGAAGCGGGAGAGACTGCGCGTCTGGATTGCTCGGTAGCGTGTATCGTAATCTCATCCAACCACCTCTCAGCTAACGGTGTCAAAAGCCCAAGGTCTTCTATGCGATCTCGATGATAAGCGAATCTACAGCAAACAGATAGGATGTATTCTTCGATTAGCTGTGTATCGACGGCCTCAGCTGGGAGATCATTGATGATTTTGTGAAGTTCGATCGCGCGCCTATTGTCCTGCCTCTCACAAGAAGCCCTACACCTAGCCTTCCTCGATGGAGCGTAACATATGCAATTTTTATTTCTAGAAGGATTATGAGCACGGAATGGGACAAACCAGGACACATCTTGGTTGAGAGCCATCGCTGGGGTGGCGTGAGGAAGAGACGAAGTGTTTGCTGGTTACCGTTCTGGCCTATCCGACGGTAGACGCGGATTAATGTGTTCTAGAGGATGACAAGTGGCCTTGGAGCGTTCTTCTGGTCAGGGCCTGCAAAAGATGCCAAAAGGACGAGGTGAGCTGCTGTGAGGTTCGTGAACTACCACGCGGCCCTCTTAATAGCGCGTCGTGAAGTGCATGTGGGTGGGATACGAGACCACTCTGCTCCGCCACAGAGGCGCAGTCTTACTGTCCATGATGCTTCTGGCAAATCACATTGGTTAGCGGGACGGCCCGCACCTTTTGTTTTTTGGCGCTGAAGCTGTTGGCGTCTTTTACGACGCGATCCGCCTTGCCTTGTCGCGTGGTTGTAGGCAACCCCACTGGATCGTTCAGACCCAACCATGACAGTGGTTGCCTGTGACGCGGCACTTTTCCCGCGCAGCTGCGCCAGACTGGGCATCCATCGCCGGTGTGCTCATGCAGGGGTTACTCGAAGACCACAAGGCTTCGGCCGCGATAGTTCGTTAGCAAGCAGGCTCTGGGGCTGCATCTCCGGGGCTAGACTGTGCAGACCCCGTCGTTCTTTGACGGAAGAAGCCCTCGGGCAGCACCTGCAAGACTTGCCCGTGCTCGCTATCTTGAAAGAGCTGCAATCGATAATTCTGAACTGACAAAGCCTTGGACCAGCAGTTGCGAGACTTGCCCGTGCATGATCAGTATTTTCTTTGGCAGAGCACGATCCTTCTCTTCATTGTGCTAGTTTGGTCGGTAGACGTCGCTAGCTCAGAATTGTGCTGGGTGGCGTTGGAGCAATGTTTGGGCGCAATGCGAGCTTGCTTGGCGGTGTAAGATCAAAGTTCACAGAAAGGGGGGAGAGCTCAATAAAGTTGTCACATGGTGTGGAGGAGCGGCAGCCTTGCGCAAAAGGAAGACGCGGCAGCCTTGAACCAGCGGCCGCAGTCAGACGTGCGAACAGGGGGTCAATGTGTTGTATCGCGTGCTGTGGGCCGTTGATGGTCCGTTGCACGGTCAGCTGTTCTCTCCGGACTTCATTTCTGCACAACTAGCAGCCACAAGCTTGTCAGCCACATCAGATTGTACTAATTCGTTTCCGCTGCCAAGGAATATTCGTCCCCCCCACCAAAATTACTATCCGTGCGCAGGTCCGACCTTTGCAGCAAAAGTAAAAGCAGAATCAGCATGGCAGCCCCGATTCTGAGGGCGATACACATGAATACGAATACCTGATGCCGCAACCAATGGGCACAGCGCCTTGGTACAATGCGGATTTGGCCTTTTGCTGCAACCTACAGCAATGGGTATCGTGAATGTTCAATGCCTAATTGCTGGTCTAGTGATCTGTTCCTCACCCCAGGACCGGAGTCTAGCACAAAGAAACTTGACTTCAAGTTAGACCGAATGATGGGGATCGATGGGGGGCAGAAGGGGCGCGACTCAAAGTACCAATCCAGATAAGAGTGCATTCGGCTTCTACATCATGTCAGGTAAGCATGCTCGATATACAGCTCGAAATCAGCCCTCACAACTTTTCAGGGCCAGAAGACGAGGTATCCTACTCTACAAATGCAATAATACGATTGGAGAGACGGAACGGAGGTTCTTGAAGGCCTCAGCACCATGATCATAGATCTGTAGAGCTCATCAGAGAGTCAACTATAGAAAAGGAGCGTTTGCTGAAGTCGTGGCATTAGCAAGGCCGCAGTCATAGTTTCGATATTGTTAGAGGCCAAATTGTGCCTTGCGGGCAGGTAGCAGGCAAGGATAAAGAAGCTCATCTGACTCGGACGCTCGAGAAAAGATGAAGTTGGCGCCTGCGCTTAATGCCGGATCGTGATTGGGCCAACATTACCACGGAACGGTGAGAACGAGCAAGCTACACGGAATGGGACTAGTGCGGAATACCTGAGGCACAGGAATGTGTGGTTGGCGGAAATAAAATGCTCCACTTCTCGTTCTAACTGCTCCGGATACCAGCAGTTCAACTCTGCTTCCCACCGCTTCATTTAGCGCAGCCCAACAGCATTGCAAGGTTTACGCAAGAGACTTCGAAAACTAAAACGAAAAGAGCTAGCTCCCGATATGAGTGCCCCTCCGGACCCACATTCCAAGCATCTACCATAACGATCCCCAAGAAACCTCCTCCCTATCCTCACAGGCTCCGGCGCTAGCTACCATACAAACAAAAGTCCTACGGGGTCTTTCTTCTCGGCAAGAACGAACCTCCTGACGACTCGAAAGACTGCATAGACGTGGATATCGTGGCTATACATGGCTCGAATGACTTATATCGCACGTGACATTAGTTCACGTGACCCTTCGTCAGGGTGAACGGCTCTTGGCTCACTCTTGTTTCCTATTTAGGACTAAAGCCTACATCGTTAGGACTACTACTATATAGTCGCCTCGGAGCTCGCTCAAGCTCCTTAGTCTCTGCATCTCAGCTTAATCGACCCAGCTTAGCTCTCACCACCTTAATTGACTGCGTACACCTCTATATGCCCTCCTCTATCATCCATCAGTTCCACAACCGGCCCTGCGAAGAATATGTCAAGAGGTATTGTTGACTGGAGGGAATGAGGAGGGAGAGGGGTGGATGGATGAACAGTCGGATGGTACAAGGGGAGTGAGGGAGGTGAGAGCTATGAGGAATGAGAGGGAACTGCATCGTGGTGAGATGTTGAAAATGACACTAGATGTGCAGAGGAGATGTGATGTTCCTTCTTGGTCTGGTGGGCAGCACAAAGAGTTTTCCCATGTATGATTTGGGTATTCTAATGTTGTTTAGTCGTTGCTATATTCATGCACCTCATGTCCTTGTGCTTAGATAGTGTCCACAGGTGGATACACACAACATTAGGCAGTTATTTCCCCTAATTAGTTGACATGCTAAGTTAGCGTTCATAGCCTGCACAGTGACAGCTCTAGGTAGACTCATTCATGTAGAAGCCCCGAGATGAGGTTAGCAATTTCATACTGTTCATCTATCTCCTTTAGGCTATGCTATATTGCCCCATGACATCAAATTTCTCGAGAGGGTAGGAGTATTTCCTAATTAAGCGTTTTGTTAGAGTACCGACACTTGAAGTCTCCAAAATATCGCAGAGGGAGTTTCAAGATGTGAACAAAGACATCAAAATGATCCTTCTAAACCTTCGCTTTATCACCGAGCCGCCGCCACGAGGCCAAAACATCCTTACACAACTCCGTCATTGACGTATTCACCAACAGAACCCCGTAACTGAAACTTCGATCCCAATCTCCTTCTGAAACCATTCCCGCATCGTGATGGCTATCAGCGAGTCGATACCCGGATTGGCTACTGACGTGTTCACGTCCGTCTCGCCCGGCCTCATATGCAGCATCGACTCGACGGCTGCGCTAAAGCCGGCGATCAAGATGGCCAGGCAAGCCTCCTGGTCCTCGTGCACATCGTCCAACTAAGCCTTAAGAGACGTTCTGCCGCTGGCTCTCTCGTCGACGTCTTCATCGCCATCATCGGAGACCAGGTAGTGCTGCAGGCGTGGCTGCTGGCGCCATGAGGCTTGGATGCCGCTCTTGAGGCCCACGATGAGTTCAGTAGGGCCGCCTGAGCCGGGGTTGGCGTCCCATGATAGCTTCAGCGAGCAGGTCGTGCAGATCCGTCTCGGAGAGGGCGTCCATGCTCTGGTGCAGCGCAGTCTCGATGTCGGACCGACAGTCGTGCCTATGGACGTAGCCCAGGCCCGCCAGGTGACTGATGTGCACAATCGAAGCTGCGAGTCCCTGGTGTCGTCGTTCACGCAGATTCCTTTCTATGAATAAGTTGGCCGCAGCGTAGGCTGTCTGTCCCGCGTTGCCTGCTACAGCCAAGGCCGAGGAGAAGAGAGTGAAGAAGTCCAGCTCGTATTTCTTCTCCTGGAACAAGCGGTCGAGTCCTCAGTCCCCTGCACCTTAGGCGCTAATACCGCTGCAAAGTCGGCCCACGGCATGTTTATGAAGAGGCAGTGTCGCCACTACGCACCGCCATTCATAACACCCCCCACGGGGTGCATGGCTGCTTCAATATATGCGTATATCGCTGCCAGTACCTTGCGGTCGCCAATATCCACAGCCATGGTGTAGACGGTGGCCTCTTTGCGGGGTATGAATTCGATGACTGAACGGGCGTTGGGGCACCAGCTGGCGAGGACGACATTTCGAACACCATGAGAAACCATCCAGTTACAAATAGAGATGTCGACATCACCACTGGGGCCAAAAAGGACGTAGGTCTTGGCCGATGAAAAGGGACCGTCATGCTGTGGGGGCAGGACCCTGGCGGTTATCTTCTCTGTGATATTCCAATTGATAACGTTTGATGGCAGAATTCGGGTTCTTGAATTAGCTAGGATCGATTTCGTGAATACCAATGATACTTTTGCGAACATGATCAAAGGATGCTTGCTGGAGACCATCACTGCCAGTGTGGCTCTTGATCAATTGGTCAAGCTTGGCACGACTGAATCCAAGCGTGATTCCATCGCGACTCGCTGCAACAAGACTTTGGCGCAAAATCTTGACGTTTGGCAACGAGGCACGAACCAACTTCAGCAAGGAACTCTCGCCCCCCGGGCTGCTCCAAGCTGACGAATGTCCGTACATTTCCAGGCTACACCAGTTGGAAGTCGCGCTCCGTTAGGTATGGATGAGAGAACGTTATGCTATCGTGGTGTCTAATCTCAGACGTCGTTTGGTAGAGGTTAATCCTGTGCTGAGAAGCCACCAGCTCAAGCACTCAACTGAGGATCGCCGGAGCGCCGTGTATCCAGGTGGCTGTATGAGCGTGTTCAAGGACACTTTCGGCAATCAGAGCCGTCAAAATGAGATGTAGCTGAATGCTGTCGTCGGGGGCCACTTCGTTGGTCACCGATGGAGGACGTCAGATCCAGAGATGGTGACGGTGGAGCCATTTGTGCTTGACACGGCAAGTAGTTTCTGACCAGATGAAGTATCACGACCAATGACAAGATGCATGTCTTCACCATCTCGACAGCTCAGTGCGCAAAGAGAGGAAGCTGAGGACTCTAAGGAGACTTGGTGCCTGCTCGTAGTCCTTTGGTAATAGGCTTGAGTCTGAACGATGTTCCGTTGTTCGTCCACAACGATGGCCGTCCCGCCTCTCGAACAGTAGCAGATTGCGTGACCACCTCGAGTGCCCTGGCGCTAGAAAGGCGGTTAAGATTTCTCAGAGGCCGGACACGAGGAATATACAGAGCACCCTCTTGCAGCTTTTTCTCTGGCTCTTGCGTCCCAACACCTCTTCCAACTCGGGCCGGTCCTGGCTAGCAAGCAGGAGATTTGTGGCAAGTATCGAGGGGTCGACTGCATCGGGCAGCTCGACATCGAGAATTTGGAGTTTGAGTTCAGGAAACTCGGCTCGAGTGCAGCGTTCAAAGCCCACTACCATGGCAGCGTGGGGGTTCTCCCAGTCGTGGCCCCTGAGGTTACCCAGAGAATAGAGCCAACCGTACGAACGATCTAATCTTTAGAGTACGAAGTCAGTGTATGTCTCACAAGCATTTCGAACACTCGCATTACTGACCTCCTAGAGGTTGAAGAAGCATTCTTCATCCATCTGATCAAAGATGGGGGCGTCCAAGTCCCAGAGCAGAAGTACACTCGTGCCAGGGGGCATTTTAATCCCCCAAGACCGACGACTGAGGTGATCTGGGTCTGATTCGCAGCAACAAGCAGCTCTCTTGTCCGAGATTCCAGCCGTATTACGGAAGCAGAACAAGTCGGCCTTCTAACCAAGAATCCAAGACAATCTCGCTAGTGTGTGATAGCATCTGCGGTGTACTAGACAGAGGGTCGTGCAGGAATTGAACAGCATTATCCATTGCTTATGAGAGCATGACGCTTGCGACAGTAGCACTTGAGCTCGTATCGACGCCCGAAAACCAGCCTTGCGCAAAAGCGCGTCCCATCCATCGATGTTGACGATTGCTGGTTTTTCCTCCCCTAGCCATGATCTAGGAAGCAAGGACTTGATAAGGCGAAAGGGAAGCTAGTCGCTTGTCATCTCCAGTAGTACCAAGTGCCTACCTGGGCGTAGAAGCCAGGGAAAATGGCGCAGTGCTTCTTCCGCACCTTGTGCTGCGTATAGGCAATTGGATGCGATGATGAGGTAGAAAGTGGCTTCACTATGGCTTTAAAGTTTGGGATCCTTCCCGATATCGAGGACGCTCAATGTAGGGGTACAAGGTTAGTTAAGCTCATCCAAAGAGGTCACATTGCGCATCATCTCAGAATCTCTTGTCTGAAAACGCCACACCATATCTCTGATCAATTTCGGACCGGGAGCTACGTACCTTGGCTGAATAACACTCGAGCGCCTTGCGAGGAAGTGTCTCGGGTGAAGCAGCCGTGCGAGCGTATGATGCGTAGCGGTCTTCCATCGACGCTAGAACATACCGTGCAGTCACTCCACCGCCAGCCCCGAGTTCAAGCACTTTCATGCGCGGATATCATTAACTGGGTTGGCCAACCAGAGTCGTTCACTGCCTGAGAAAAAAGCGCTGTTTGCTTAGACTGTTGACCCAGTATTGTCCCTTGAGGAGTAGGAGGTCATCAGCGTCGTCGAATGAGCGGCTTCGACCGTTGGGCCCCCAAACACTCAAGTACCACGCACAGTGCCTCGGATTCTTCTCCACTGTAATCCCACATTTCCGCATTGACTCGAGGCACGGTTCGGCGCATGGCAGCATGTGATGAGAATGGTACGCAGTGACAACTTCCAGCACACGAACAAAGGTGCATTCCTCTTCAAGTCTAGATATAGGCTTCTTCAACAGCTTCGGCATCACCTGCCAGTGTGCAGCTTTTTTGCGAGTTGCTGGCAGCTACTCTGAGGGAAGTTCCAAACTCGCTGCGGAAGCGCAAGGCTTGATACAAGGACATGCCCACTGCTATCATCTTGCCGCGTTTTCCCCCGGATCCCTGGGCTAAATGGGAGTGAAAACCTCTATAGTATGCAATACGGACGGCATTTTTGGCGCTCAGGTACCCTGCGGCGTATGTAGCACCAATTTCTCCAGAGGAGTGTTCAACAATGGCAGTAAATCTGACATCGGTAGTATGAAGGGCGTTGACTAGAGCGACTTGACGAGCAGTGCAGAGAGGTTGCGAAATCAAGGCTGTGTCTACGCGGGAAGACCCAAATCAGGGGGTATAAAGTCAGTAAAGCTCATCCAAAGGGGTGTCAGTGCACATTGCCTGAGGCTGCAATGGCATTGTTGCAAAGCCACGTGGGTAACGCAATTTGTACTTAGTGGATACGTACAATTTCAACGTACTAAGCTCGTAAATCAAGGACCACTCAGGACCACCTCCGTCTGGGAGATTGTCGAGGCTATGCTGCATCTGATCCATGGTGCTGCGGAAGACTTCGGACGTGTGATAGAGTTTCTTGCCCCTGGTAGCTCACTACGCTCCCTTCCCAGTAAAGATACCAAGTAAGTAGCTGGCCAGCGATGCAGCCCTTGTAGCTAGAGCCTGACTTGAATTGTTTTCGTACTCGTGTCCGGAGGGGCTACAGCCACAGGGACAATGGCTATACAGCTACTGAGATTGTGAGTGAGGACCTTGCAGTGAAGCCTCTGTTAGAGCAGTCACTGGCCTGCTGTCTAAAGCGGCGGTTATACACCCATAGTAACCTGCTCGCCTACCAGTAACGCTCTATGTGAATCTTACGGCGCCAAAGCTTGTTTCGGCTACAACTCGCCTACCTGTGGTGCTGATATTCGGGAGCACACTGGAAACACTTTTAGCGCATCCTATGGACTGCTTTACAGACGCCACGACAATGAAGATGTGCTATGAAGCAATTGGTTCTTTCGGCGGGTACGCAGATCCTAGTACAAATTGCGTCGATCAGATGGTGTGACGTTTTGAGACAGACAATCTGAGACGTCGAGTACTGATACCCCTTTGGATGAGCTTATATAACTTTGTATTGTAACATTAACGTGTTTTATCAGTAAGCTGCGGACATCAGTAAGCTGCGCACCCCACTAAAACGCGCGCGCCTCTTTAACAGATAACTAAACAGCAACTAAATTAAACTTATATAAGTATATATATAAAATATTTTTAATTACTTCTACATTAATTTCTTTTATAGCCTTATACATAGCACTTTAAGCAGGTTAGTGGTGCTTGTTAATATGCCTACAATGCCTAAGCCTGCGCATCTACCTTAACTAACCTATCAGCCTCTGCAGCCAGCCTCTAACCTTCCTAGCCTGTAAGAGTCCCTTCTGTAGCAATATACTACTGTTGCTGTTGCTTCTTCTACTCTTAGTAATAGTTAGCCTAACATAGCTTAGTGTTCTTTTTTATAAAAATTATTACTAAGTACATTACTATCTAATATTTTTTAACAAGCTAAGCTATTACCTAGCTAGTAAAGCTCTATAATTAATAACTAAGGCAGTTATAAATTAGTTAAGCCTACTTCTGCAGCTAAGTAACTATATAAGGCGTCTTTATAGTCTAGCGCGTCTTACTATTAGCTTCTTGCGCTAGTAGAGACAGTGTACAGACAATAGTAAGCAATAACAAGACATAATTAGAACAGTATAAGACTAAACCTGCTACTTAAAAGCTACTTTTAATTATCTACTTTATAAATACTATAAGCCTAATATGCTTATAAATTCTAAGAAAGTCTTACTTATTAATATAAAAAATCTAATTATAAGCAAGCTCTAACACCTAGTGTCTATACACTTACTTAAAAGGCGCAAAACAGCTAAAATCTAAAGGCTGTAAGAGATAAAAGCTATAAGCTAGCATATAAAGACTAATAATCTTATTTTTTATATAGTACTAATTAAACTTAGGCGTTGCATAGCTGCTGTAGCTATTTACTATAAGTGTAACGGCGCAGGCAAGACAATGGGTCCGAATGCGGTATGAATCCACTCAGAGGCATATGGGAGTGCGTGGGGACTCAGAGACCTGGGAATACCAATGACACCTATAGGCCTTGTACGTAGGATATCAGAAAACTACCGAGCTAGCTACGGGGGCGAGGTGCGACTAAATACATGAGGGAATAGGGGTAACAGCAGGGGGCAGGGCAGAGTCGGGGCCAGGTCGAGTCAGGGTCGAGCCAGGGTCGGAGCCGATACGGGGACCCTTCGGATGGGTTCCGGGCGACCCGAGATGGAACGAGAATCGTTACAATAAGCAGGTAATAGATTCCTACTATACGCGTCCTTATCTACTTATTAAAGTGCTTAAGCTAGGCTAGGCTAAGGTAGTTAGTTATTTAGCTATTATTACTTACTATAAGTGTCTAGTTACTAAGGATATTATAATACTAGCTAGCTTAGTAGAGCTTTCTATATAAGATAATAAGCAGTAGAAGTAACTAGCTAAATATATTAATACACTTAATTATAGTAACCTAGTTATAATTACTAGGCTGTATAGTAACTACTTAACTAATAGTCTTAAAGCTAGTAATAACTTTAAACATACTAGTAACTTTTATTATAAATCTTATTTTATTAAAATTATAACATACTTTATAGGCGAGTTGCTTACACACCTAAGTTGCTTACTTTTACTAAGACCCTACTACACTACTCTTTCTACACTAACGCATTTCTAACAACACTACTTAAACATGTTAAAAGAATGTTAGATGCAGCTTATACTTTAGGCTTTTAAATAAAATATAACACTTTTTAACTATTGCGCTGCAGCTATCTATAGAGTCTTTTAAAAAATAATAAGTAACTAACGCGCTAAATAACTTTTCTAAGCTAATTATACAGCTAACTTATAAAAGCTAGATAATAATAAAAAGTAGGTAATTATTTAGCACATACTTAAGCTAGATGTGTGAGGATTTCCCCTCTAGCTAGTAGCTATAGCTAATATAGCTAATTCTTTACACACTAAGTATAATATAAGCTATATTAGTATAAACTAGCTTAATATATTTATTAAGTGTTACTTAAAGCTTAAAGTAAAGTTTAAGTATAAGTATAACTATAAAAAAGCTTTTTATAAAATTTTTATAGTAATTTAAAGCTAGTTTAACTTTATAAAGAATATTAAAGCTAAGTATAGTATCTAGAATAATAACATATATAACTTTAATAAAATAAAGTTTATAATAGGCTAGATATCTACTAGAGCAGTTATTATAAGTTTAAAAAAACAAGAATAGCTAAAAGCAGTCTAGCTAGGTAACTAAGAGTAAATAATAGCTATTTAAGGCATTAATACTAAAAAGTAGGCTATTCTACTTTTTATTATCTTTTAGGGTAGTAACTACTTTTTAAACTAGTATAAAAAGAAAAATCTACTTTAGAATTAAGTTATTATAATTTCTAAGTATAGCTAGACTACTAATTAGCTTAGTCTAGACTAGTTAAAGCACTTTAACGCGCATATAAAAAAGTGTACTGTTAGCAGCTACTATCTGCTAGTTATTAATAGCTATAAAAGCTATAACTTACTTTATTTTTAGTAATACTATAAAGATAATAAAATTATTACTATTTATATACTTTTTTACTTATTACACTTTTTATAGCTACTTAATGTAGGTTGTTTTACTTCTTTAAAGAAAGTGTATAGGCGCTAAGCTAAAAACCTTATGTATAACTAAATTACTTATATTATAAAAATAAAGTTTCTACTATGCTTTAAAGTAGCCTATAATACTATAATTACTTTTAGTAATATTTAAAAAGAGTTTTAAGGCGCTAAATTAGTTCCTTTTAACCTATAATAAGTTATAATAGGCCTTAATGTAAAGTTGTGTACTTTATTACTACTACTACTTATATATAATAAGCTCTAGTAGTTATAAACCCTAAGTAATACTTTAAAACTTAGGTTATAATTAATACTTATAAAAATAAGAATTTAAAAGCATATAAATAGTTTACTAACTTTTATAGTTAAAGTGTTTAAAAAGGTCTTAAAGAGAGTAGTAATAATTACACATAAGCTAGTGTTAGTATAATAGAAAATTACTAAGCTTTAAGCAGCTAATAAGGCTGCTATGTAACATAAATTACATAAAAAAAGTAGATTAAGGTAGAAAAGACCTTAATAATTTAAAAAGGCCTACGCTTAACAGCTCTAAAGGAGTTTAAAGTGCGCAGTAATAGGAAGAAGGCAAAGAAGCAGGTGTAAGCTAAAGTAGGTAAGCTATCCTAAAGGCGCTGCAGACAGTGCAATTAGACTAGGCATAACACGCAAATGTGTAAGCAAGAAGCAGAAGTAGTATCTAAATAATATTCTAGGCTGTACTGTACTATATAGTGCTAGAGTGGGTTGTTATAGGCTATAATAGAGTTTGTTAGGGTGGGGTCTTGGCAAAAGTAAGCGACTCGGGTGTGTGAGCAACTCGCTCATGAAGTACGTTAAGTATTCTTATCTAGTATTTTATATATCTAACATGTGTCCTTTACTAGCTTAAACTAAGCTCTAAACTTAACTAGATCCTTGTCAGATTGAAGCACTGTTTCTAGGCTTCCTGAGATGAATGATGGGTTTGGATATGATGTATGGGATGATTGATTGATTGTGTTGATTTATCGATCCTTTTTCTGCTCTACTCGTGTTGCTCGGCTTTTGTTTTTCCGATCCGAGTCCCTCGCGCACTAGCCCTATGCGCGACCAGCTTGCAACATGCTGCAATTTGCTGCAATTTGCTGCAACATGCTGCAAAATGCTGCAATTTGCTGCAACATACTGTTCGAGCTTATTGCTCGTACTATGTAGCCGCTTTTCGTCAAACGTTCCTCCTGTCTTGACAGTAGGTGCGCATATCTGACAATCCTAATAAAAAGCGCGCTAAAAGTGTATCTTTTTATCCTACTTTATCTAAAGCTCTACCTAGCTGTTAACAAAGCGCAATACCTAGCACTTACCTACAAGTGTTAGTAAAGAATCTTAGTAATAAGCTTAAAGCAAAATATTTACTATTTAACACATGTTAATAATATAAGGTAAAAAGCTGCATTAGTTAAAATCTAGGATCTAGAAGACAAGTAACTACTTTTTAATAAGCAATAGCTTACAGTTAACTAAGATTGTCTTACATTTTAGGAAAATACTACAGAGGCGCGTTTAAAGGGTAGATTCTAGTACATTATAAGCTGCAGTAGCTGCACAAATTAATAAATAAAAGTTAGACTTAATTAAAACAAGAGTAAGCTAAAGTCTGCCTTCTTTTGCTAGAGATTAAGCTTGTAGTTGTTAAGCTATAGTTAAAGGTGTGGACGCGGTTTCGCGCGGTTTGGTGGGGTGCGCAGCTTACTGATGTCCGCAGCTTACTAATAAAACACGTTATAGGTCATACATTGCCCTTAGGCTAACCACTACTATTGTCAAGGATACGCGACGGGATATTTGCACTAACTGGTCGATGGCTCACTCGATCCTAGGAGTACCTCTCGAGCTTCACGGCGCCTTTGGATGCCCAAATACACTAGAGTAGAGGAAATTCGGGTCGCATTGCTTTCCATTAGTTGAGAAGTTGCTGCAGAAGGGAAAATTTATGGACCATCCGTTGGAAGTTCGTGAAGGGGGGCTAGCAAAGATGCCCAACATCATGGAAGACTTGCGTCCTGGAAGTGTGCGGGTGAAGAAGGTCGTAGTGCCGATGGTAGTAGACTAGGCAATCTACCATTATGTCACCTGTCACAGCTCGAAGTTCAAAGTTCGAGCTGGTGAGGTTGCGCACGAACCAGGACCATGGACCGGCCAAGTTTATCTATTCCTCCGCCGCTATATATTTTTTCTTTCTTAGACCATCAATTCTTCTTTCTATACTATTTCTAAGGTAGGCTCACTTGCTCTCTAGCACTTTTCAAGCAGTTGATGCTGCCTTGGAACGCCATAAGTTTTATCCCACATCTCGTCCCTATGCCACTCATGTTTCCGACATTATTACACCATTGTAGCTCTCGTTCCGCACCGCATTGTGTAAAGAATTGCCGCATGATCCATTGCGGGTAGACCATCGTTTGTGGCCCGAACGTGCCCATTTCGATCCTGTGGCAATATTCGATCGACTGACAGAGCAAGCGGGCCAGCTTGCCGGCCTCATACTGAATGCTACCGAAACTATTGTGTAGATCGAAGAACCGTGAAGCCATGGTTCTCGCTTCATCCCTTTCTTCAAACAAGCGCTGTAGTGTGGTGTGGATGTGTAGCTGGAAGGCCCAAGATGCCACGAAGTGGGTTGCTGTTTGCAAAGAGCGGAACTCAAGAGCGAATGGAAAGAGTTTCATATCGTGAGTGTCGTCCGAGGGATTGTTAAGTTTCGATGGTACTGCCGTATAAAGCGGTGTTGGACTCGCCGCGCAGAGCCTCGCCTGCCAGGCGTAGAGGTCCCCCATGATACTCCATAATGCAGCAACCGCCGCCGTGATTTCGGAGTCCCCAGATTGTCCTGTCAGAACGAGCTTGGTAGCTGAATCAAGTATTTGAGGTAACTCGCATACAATGTCCATTAGCTGGTCCATGGGGTCGAGGTTAGACTTGTCAGGCATAAAATCCGCCCACTGTGCAGCGCTCACGGAATCTTGCTGTCTGCCCGTAAGTTGTGAGAGTATCTGGCAAGGGATATTAGCAGCTAGAGTGGGACGCGGTCAAATTCACTTACGCTAATAACGCGTAACCGAGACCATAGCCTAAGCCAGATCGTTGTTGAAACATCTGTGAATCTTCTCTTCAGACGTAGGACATCCGCAATACCCTGCACATGGACTCGCAGCCCGTTATCCGTCGGAAAGAAGAAGAGCTCGCAGGTCGACAGAACCACAATGGCCGCAAGGATGTAGTCCAATCTCGCGTCTCCTTTACCGTTCAAAGCAGTTGATAGATATCCAAGTGTGGTATTGTACCTTTCAGTTCCTTCGTCGTGTGATACACTTCCGGTATTCGTAACGTACACCTGAATAGTACAGAATGCAATGAGCGCATTGTCGAGTACAAGACAGGGATCTTCGAGCTCGCATACGGCTCTGAACCAAGTCACCGGAGCGGCATGACTTGGATTGTTGTCTGCGACTTCGGAATGTGGTAAATACAACTTCTGCAGTAGCTCGAAGGCTTCCAGTCGAAAGTGAGAAGGGAATGCTGTCGATGCTTTTGCCAACTCAACTAGGCCATTAAGCTGGTCTTGAATTGAGCGGCTCTCGGGGTCTTTCAGCCTGCTGAGCCTAAATTTGGCGAGAACGGCTGGTGCTGATGCAGATAGATCCGCGAGAGTCTTGTTGACGAAGAACGTTTGCTGACCATAGCCAGAACATTGTATGCGAGCCCTGGCACATCGTGTACATCCTGGACGTTCGAATCCACATTTCACGCGTCGTCTTTTGCAGTTGTTACAAGCTTTGGATTTGCCAGCAACACCAACCATGCCTCCGAGTGACTCTTGTGATGGGGCATTGGTGTTCGGATCATCCTCGAAAGATGATGCTGATTTAGGCTGCGGGATGGGCTGCAATCTGCTGGATGACGGCGGATGCCTCTCAGCTGACTGGCTGACTTTCGGTTCGGTTCAGACCGCAGACTTGGGACACTTAGAGATCTAGCCTTTCCCAATCTGGAGGCAAGATTCGAGCTCAGTGGCAAGGATCGGTTTGGGCTGACAAATCATATCGTTTCATTTCGGAGCTAGAGTTAGCGCATGGATCTGGAATAAGAGCCCTGGAAGGCTATTGCCAACTAGTTTATATCTTTGTTCCTTCACGGGCACGGATGTTGATGTATTGGGCAGAAGACGAGATTAACCTATCGCAGCATAACAGAATTCCAAGGTGTTGGCTTAGAATGATCCACATTGCCAATGCAGTGGATAAGGCTGCTTGCCACCATATCCCAAAAATACAGTTTTTCTAGTCTATTGGTAGCATTTGGTCTGCACTTTGTATGATGATGATGCATGTTGATTTGAAATTTCTTCGCTTGACCGTTAATTTCGTGACAATCTCGGTCTCAACATGACTGCTCCGAGGGAAGAGAGCACTGGAACAGCTGATGCTCATGCTTTCACCATGAGTTTCACTCCCGTTAGCCTAAGCCTCGAGAATCCGACGAAGAATGTCCCAACCATCAGCAGAATGCCCGAGAACAATGTCAATCCAAGAAATCCATTCCCTTTCCCGGAGGCAATGACGCCTGCAATGGGGCTTCCAACTAGGACACCAGTCGCGGAAACAGCGTACAAGCTGCCGGTACGTACACCAAGCTTCCGAATATCTGGAGAGATCTTCGCTATCAAGGCGGGAATGATTGAAAATATGCATCCTGAGGCGAATCCGTAGAAGATCGTGAACACGATGATCAAGGCATTTGTGTGTCCCGAAGCCATCGTGGTGCTTGGCAACCAGAAGGCTAAGCTTACGACTGCGCCCAAGCCGGTGAGTAGTATCATGATGTTGAAGACACCGAAAATGTCTCCGAAGTGTGCTGGGATGATCCGTCCGAAAGTCCCGGCTGCGTTGAGGATCGAGACTAAGTAGCCCGCGAGGCTCGCTGACATGCCTTGGGCTCTAGCCTGAACGATGATGAACGTAAAGGGGATGAAACCGCCGATATAGATAAACCAGGCGCCGACTGCCAGTAGCATGAAAGTCGGCTCTGCGTAAGGTGTGATGAATTCCTTGAGAATGAGCGGCTGCTTCAATGGCGGGAGCCGCGACTTGACCGTCAGAATACCAATGATGACCATGCCCAGGAGTAGAAATGCAACAGCTCGCATCGTCCATCCAAAGCCAAGGTCATCCACGAGACGGTGGACCATGATCGGGAGTACGACACCTCCGATGCTCGAGCCAGACGCCATGATGCCTATAGCGAGGGCACGATGTCTTAGAAACCATGTGGAGCAGGCTGTCATAGCTGCAAGTGCCAGTCAGGATTGAGAAGGACAATCTCAAGCACACCACTTACAAGGATAAAAGAGGAAGCTACAACCAATGGCACTGACAACCGACTGGGAGAGAAAGACCTGGTAATACTCCTTCGATATTGAGGTCATCATCAAGCCGAATATATGCAAAAACGACCCGATGACAATGGGAACCCGCGGACCAAAATGATCCGTCACTTTGCCCACCACTGGCCCCTACAGTCTCGGTCAGTCGATAATGTGCACGATTACATCACGCGGCGGTGTACCCAAAAGAACATCATAAACGATTCTGTGGATGGTATCCAAGCGACATCGCTCGACGAGTAGTTTGCGAGTAGATTTGACTCGTAGTAGTCTTGAAAAATGCCCACACCTGCGCGCTAAATTAGCTTCGTCCCGATGATGGTGTTCTGGAGATTTTACAATTGATCCAACCAAAGCTGGCAAAGACGGTGCAAAAGCCGCCTGCGACGACGAGCCATGCTTCCACACCACCATCAGGAAAAGACTTTGGATCTGGCCCAGTTGATGTGGATGCTTCCTTCTCGGAGGCTGTCATTGGTAGTTGCACTTGCACGTTATCGATTGACGGATCTGGAGAACCATTTGGAGGGGAATTAGTCTTTTCGGGTGTTGATACCATGGTGAAAGTCGATGGATATTGGTTGTGAATCCGCAGCGGGTAGTTCAGGGTAGGTAGACGTGTCTCCTCTTATAGCATCAATAGCAAGTCGTCAGTTGATTACTACGTTATGGGCCTTGCGCAAAATTGCGCCAACAGTACTTGCCGCACATACCATAGTAGAACTCGAAAGATGATACCGAAAGGGGTGTTATCTTTCGCGTATTACCTCAGCCGTCAGCATTGCAGAAAGTGGTGCCAAAACAAAAGGCCGCACCTATCGTTTAATCCTGCGATTCGTATATGGTACGGTGAGGTCGCCAAGTACGACCTGCCGAGTGAGCCTTATATGCTGTGTAACATATTGAACGACCTGGTAGATAGCACTCCACCTGAATATAAGCACCACAATTAATCTTGCAGGTACATATGTACACGCTTCCCCATGAGACGGTTTGTAGCACGTGCGCCCCATAATCCGACCATTTTTCCTACAAATCCTGTCTGGTGGTGGCTCACGCTACTAACCTGCTCATGGGAGGGCCCTATAGCCTGCGCCGTATCTTTGTAATTGGGTTCCACTGCACGACTTGGTAAACACTAACGCGAGTCCAGAATATCACCAATGCTGTGTCGTTTGAGAGTCTATAGCTGTATGTTTTTCGATCATTTCATTCCCACCGCAGTGCCCTATATGTATTGGATATCCGTAACTGACGAGTAAGCTACAGTAAGGTGCAAAACCAGGCCTTCAACCGAAGGCAACGCAAGCAATATCGAGAACCTAAACCCAAGCGGCTTCGAATCAGGTCAGGTCGGGGGATTCTCCCAAGGCGAGGCATTGAGCTCTCACTTTGGCAACCTGACTGACCCTTTTCATATCAATCTGTCTTTGGAGACGGGGTACATTTCGGACCTTGCCTCAGGCCGAAGAGTACAGATGTCGTCCTCAGGTTAAGGGATGGGGTTAGTAGATAGGACGTCTATAATCATTACTAGAAGACTTACAAGAAGGAGGTTGAGGTTATGGGGTGGGAAAACAACCAGTATAGGTAGTTTAGAGCTACAGCTTTCACGTGGTAGAGAGCCTTTGTATCAATGATAGAGTGTATGGGTATCATATCCTTCTAAAAGCACCAACTTTTGACGAATTCAGATCGTCTCATCATCCCCAACTCTTTCCCTCTCCTTCAAAAATCCACCTACCACTCTCCAAGCTCTATACCTTCCTCACCAAACTCGACCGCAGCACATTCTTAATCTCCTCTAGAATTGCTAGATACCACTGTTAGCATTCATGGTATCTCAACTCTCTCTGGAAGAGAGCACTCACCAGCCTAGTACAAATGCCCATTCTCCTACCCATAGATCACAATCATCTGCCTCTCCTGTTACGCCGCCTCCTCCCCCCCACACTTTAATAGCTAACCTAAACCTACTTTATTTATAACTAGAACTAAAGGTTTTTATTTTAAATTTAATAAGTTTTTTAGACTATAACGTTATAGTATAGTGTAGCTTTATTTACTTTTCAAAGTATTATAACTTTCTTTTATAAAAAAGTTACTAAATATATCTAATAACTATTACTTAGTTATAATTACTTAGTTAGACTAAATTTTAGTTTGCAATACCTTTTAAATACTATAATAACTGTTTAAGTATGTGTAATACCTATCTAAGACTTTATTTTATCAAAGTTATAAATTTTATGTTTATAAATTTAATAGTTAGCAATAGTGCTATATATAAGTGTAAACTACTTTTATATAACTATAAAATTCTTATATTAGACTTTTTTATAGTAATACTTATAACTAAGGAAAACGTGTGTCGCATACAATTATCCGCCTATATATACTCTTCTACTATACTAGCTAGAAGGTTAATCTTTTAGCAACGCAAAAACATGTTTTAAACTTTATAGTGCACTTAATTAAGTTTATAGTCTAGTTTACACTAAAGTAGCCTAACTTAAGCTTAAACTATAATAGTGTTATAGTTTATTAAATATATCTTTTATAACTTAAAGTTAAAAGAATCTTTATAAATCTAAGATAAATATGTACTTTATAACAGCTAGTCTTTTTTAAATTAGTTAATTTTTATAAGTTAGCCTTGTAAGTATATTATAAAAGTCTACTATTAAGTTCTTAAGCAAGTGTAATTTTAAAAGCTTTATAAATTACTATAGTAAGTTAAATGCTTAAAATCTAGCTATTTTAAATTACTTGAAAGGCTAAAAGTACTTAATTTTTTTATTAGTATATTAAAAGTTAATAAGTAGTTGTATTATTAATTAAAGTAAAAGGTGCTTAAATTTTATTAAAGTAGACAATTTACTTATATAGACTACTTACTTGTAATATACGCTATTTAAAAAGTTGAAAGCTAATTTAAATACAGCTTAAAAGTACTTTAACAGTATAAACGTAATTTAAATATTACTTTAAAACTATCTAGTAGTAATTTAACTTATTAAGCTAGTAAGTAATTAAAATCTTATAAGCTATTTAAATATAAGTTAAAAGTAAACTAAGTATAGCTTATGTTTTATAAAATACTTAAGTTATAGCTTAAAGCTACTTTTTACTACTTTTTCTACTACAATTAAAAGCTTTTAGTACTAACATAGCTAGCAACTAACTTTATATTTAACTACTACTACTACTACTATTATAGTTATTTATCTATTAATAGAATTGTTTTAGACTTTAAGAGTTTAAGTAATACATGTATATAAAGTAGCTTGTAAAAGCTTAGATTAATACAGGTTATAAGTAGCATACTAGTAAAATAAAGCTAGCATGCTAAGAATTAAGAATAGAATAACTATGCTACATCTTCTATTTGTAATAATACTTAAGCTTACTTAATATAGTTTCTTGAGTTTTTTTAATTAAAATTAACAATAGAAACGGCTTGTACAACAGTCCTTACGCGCGACAGGTATATATGCTATTCTGTACGTAGATCAACTGTTGGTTGATTATTCACTCCTATTAGTTGTATTAGCGCAGTAGTATAGAGCTCTGTTCTTACACTAATAGCGTTAAGGCTTTTTAACTTAACTAACATTAGCTACTCACTTTAAAAGAATATATAAAAAGTTATAATATAAAAGGTGTTGTATACAATTATCCTCTATATATATCCTTCTGCTGTGATAGCTAGAAGATTAACCTTTTAGCGACGCAACAAAAGGTATAAAAAAGAAACTACAAAGTGTAGAAAAAGAATATAATATAAAAGTAGAAAGAAAGTAACAATTATGTCTGCCTTAATAGCTTTCATTATATAACTACATCATTGCTACTCTTTAACGTACTTCACAGGCAAGTTGCTTACACACCTAAGTTGCTTACTTTTACTAAAACTTTACTAAAACTTTACTAAACTACTTTTCTTACACTAATACATTTCTAATAACACTACTTAAATATGCTAAAAGAATGTTAGATAACGTACTTCACAGGCGAGTTGCTCACACACCTAAGTTGCTTACTTTTGCTAAGACCCTACTAAACTACCCTTTCTACACTAATGCATTCCCCACAACACTACTTAGACACGCTAAAAGAACATTAGATATAGCTTACGCTCTAAGCTTTTAAATAAAACATAAAACTTTTAAAGAAATGTGCTGTAGCTATATGTAGAGTCTTATAAAAAATAATAAATAACTATAGCGCTAGATAACTTTTATAAGCTAATTTTACAGCTAAATTATAAAGGCTAGGCAATAAAAAGAAGCAGGTAATTATTAAGACTATACTTAAGCTATATGCGCAAGGAATTTCCCCTTAGATAGCATTTATAGCTAATATAGCTAATTCTTTGCACACTAAGTGTAATCTAGGCTATATTTACATAAACTAGCCTAGTACATTTTTAAAGTGTTATTTAAAGCTTAAAGTAAAGTTTTAAGTATAAGTATAGTTAAAAGATATTTAGCTAATTATAAACTCTATTTTGCTAAAGTTGTACATGTTATTATTCTAGATACTATACTTAGCTTTAATATTCTCTATAAGGCTAAACCTGCTTTAAATTACTCTAGGACTCTTATAAAAAGCTCTTTTATAGTTATACTTACACTTAAATGTTACTTTAAGCTTTAAATAACACTTTATAAACATACTAGGCTAGTTTATGTAAACATAGCCTAGATTATGCTTAGCGCGCAAAGAATTAGCTATATTAGCTATAAATGCTATCTAAGGGGAAATTCCTTGCGCATATAGCTTAAGTATAGTCTTAATAATTACCTACTTCTTTTTATTACTTAGCCTTTATAATTTAGCTGTAGAATTAGCTTATAAAGGTTATCTAGCGCTATAGTTATTTATTATTTTTTATAAAACTCTACACATAGCTATAGCACATTTTTTTAAAAGTTTTATGTCTTGTTTAAAAGCTTAGAGCATAAGCTGTATCTAACATTCTTTTAGCGTGTCTAAGTAGTGTTATAGAGAATGCATTAGTGTAGGAAAGGTGGTTTAGTAGGGTCTTAGCAAAAGTAAGCAACTTAGGTGTGTGAGCAACTTGCCTGTGAAGTACGTTATAGCTTATACTCTAAGCTTTTAAATAAAATATAAAACTTTTAAAAAAACATGCTACAGCTATGTACAGAATTTCTTAAAAAATAATAAATAACTATAGCACTAAATAACTTTTATAAGCTAATTCTATAGCTAACTTATAAAGGCTAAGTAATAAAAAAAAGTAGGTAATTATTAAGACTATACTTAAGCTACATATATAAGGATTTTTTTTTAAATAGCATTTATAGCTAATATAGCTAATTTTTTATGCACTAAGTGTAATCTAGGCTATATTAGTATAAACTAGCCTAGTATGTTTATAAAGTATTATTTAAAGCTTAAAGTAAAGTTTTAAGTGTAAGTATAGTTAATAAATATTTAGCTTATAATAAAGCTAGTTTTACTAAAGTTATATATGTTATTATTTTAAATGCTATACTTAGCTTTAATATTTTTTATAAAGCTAAACCTACTTTAAATTACTTTAGAACTTTTATAAAAAGCTTTTTTATAGTTATACTACACTTAAACATTACTTTAAAGTCTAGATAACACTTTTTAAATATACTAAGCTAGTTTATGCTAACATAGCCTAGATTACACTTAGAGTGTAAAAAATTAGCTATATTAGCTATAAATGCTATTTAAAAAAAACCTTATATATATAGCTTAAGTATAGTCTTAATAATTACCTACTTTTTTTTATTACTTAGCCTTTATAAGTTAGCTATAGAATTAGCTTATAAAAGTTATTTAGTGCTATAGTTATTTATTATTTTTTAAAGAACTTTATACATAGCTATAGCATATTTTTTTAAAAGTTTTATGTTTTATTTAAAAGCTTAAAGTATAAGCTATATCTAATATTCTTTTAGCACGTTTAAGTAGTGTTATTAGGAATGCATTAGTGTAGAAAAAGTAGTTTAGTAGGGTCTTAGCAAAAGTAAGCAACTTAGGTGTGTAAGCAACTTGCCTATAAAGTACGTTAGAAACTAAGGCTTCACTAAAGTACATGCCTGATGCATCCTGTTGTGTTTAATATAGTCTTGGTGTCCTTCCCTGCACCCTTAACTATGTCATAATGCGACTGCGGAACGCGCGTTTCGTCTTCAACATAGCTTTCTTGCCAAGCGTTATCACAGATGCTTAAGAAAAAACATTTAATTCTGGTGGTGCGGACAAGTCTTAACTAGTCTTTGCAAATCACACAGGCTAACTTGGAAGCCATCCTCTGTTAACACGCAGAGCATCTCCTTCTGAGAGATTATTGCCCTATGGCTCTTGTACCCTCAACACAAGCTGCTTGTTCTTGTATGCTGGGAGGTGCTTGCCAGGAAAGTTCCACCTCTGGAGCTAGGTCTGATAGAATCGCTGACTGGAGCATATTAGTGGAGTCGTCTCAACAGAAAGGAAAGTAAGGGGGGCGAATGATAGATACGGCAAAGAGGGCCGGCGTGTAAGGAGGTCGTGATGTTCCCAGGCGGCCACCGAGTTGAGGATTGCGCCCGGATATCATACTTTGCAGCGAGGGACATGGTACAGCCTCGCCGGCAGTCTCGACTAGCAGCTGAAGTAGAGGCGGTCGTGGGCATCTAGGTGATAGTGGACGGCCTTGCAGTACAGAAGGCCACTGCGCGCAGATTCCAGGCGAAACCAATTAGAACGTACCTAGACGCCTATGTGTGGGTAAATAAAATATGGGTGCTGCTTACGCTTTCCCGAGAATACAGGAACGTGACGTAAAACACAATAAACCTAAACCCAAGGCAACGCGAGAGATAGTAAATTAAACCGCTGTTAAGCTATCTAGGCTACTGCAAGCCATCGTGGCCACTGTAAGCCGTTGTTAGCCATCTCGACCATTACTGCCAGCTATCTAGCCTACTTTAGGCCCTCTAGCTCACTATAAGCTATTGTAGCTACGAGTGTAGGCGACTTTCGCTGGCATTCCGCAAGCTTCGGGAGCTCTGTGCGCCTACTATATCAATTTTCATTAATATAGGAGCGATCTGGGCGAGATTGGCTGGCCCTTCGCAGGCTCTGTGAGCTTCGCACGCCTCATCTAATTTCTCCAGGCAGTGTCGGCTCTGTAAGGCCGGAACCAGAATGGGCTTGTAGCATCCTAAAAGGGATGTTGTCGAATACACTCATATGCAAGAAGTCAAATGAAACGGTGGTTATCCAGCGGATATCTGGTTAACAATTTGTTAAGCCCTGCTGACTCTTTGCCTCTACGTCCAGTTCTCTCTAGTCACTCTCAAGTATTGGCTTATGGGTTGGATGGATCCTTCTGCCTCTGAGAGCTGGCGCTCATGGCCGGTTGGGAGGTGGGGAGGACCTGCTTGGACAGCTCCCTCTGCTTCATCTTGCCATGACCGTAGACAAGGCCGCTAAAGAATCCTAGGAGGATCGCCGAGATGCTACCAAACGTGACGGGAGCATCGAAAAAGACAATGCCGCTGATGGCCAGCGGGAGCTTGTTCAGATAACCGACGAACGAGTACGTAGTTGACGAAGTCTTGCGAATGCACCAAGCAGACGAGTATGAGATAAAGATGGCACCTAGGCCAGAATAGAGCATCCCAATCACAAGGTTTTTGCGCGACTCGGCAGGGAAGTTCTTAGCTAGGTTCGTTGTAGACCAGTCCTCGGTGAACAGGGAGCAGATGATCATGATAGGGAGGGAGAGCAAATTGTTATAGAACATGGCTGGTTGATTCTGGTTAGTTTGAGTTGAAATTCCTGGCAGTTAATTAAAAACTTACTGTCCCAGTCCTTGAACTTCAGCGAGGTGATGAACTTGCGCGTGCCCAGGACGTATGAGGCAGTGCAGAAGACGTTGAGCCCCATCCACGCGTACCCAGCGTTCAAGGTTGAGATAGCGGCGGCAGTCTCCACCGAGTGCCCAACACCATTGAGGGCAGCCTGGATATCTGCCCATGCAGCAACGATGGAGCTGAGCACCATGAAGCCGAACGACAGCAAAAGCAGCGGGGTGACGTTGCCGCCGAACCACAGGACCTCACCATAGGCGATGACGATGATGGTCAAGTTCTTGAAGATAGTATATACCGGAACGGATAGAAATTGAAGAGACTTGGTGCTGGTATAGATCATGCCGACGAAGAACACAGACACAGGAAGCCCTGATTCGGTGTTAGCATGGCCGGGAATTGCACGAGTGTCAGTTCGCTGTCGCAGACATACATCTCTTGGCCTTGCCGCTTTCCAGGGCAGCGAGGTTAGGAATCAAACCCATCTGCTTCAAGACCAGAATTGCAGCCGTGCAAATAACGGCCTACCGAATGGGTGTCAGCTGCGGGGTCTTAATGCAGGACCAAAGTGTCGCTACACATACCTGAATGGCCAGATAAAGGAAGTTCAAGTTCCAGGACGAACCCGAAACGACATACTTGTTCACGACCGTCATGCTGATCGAGGAGAAGCAGTAGGCTAGAACAGCAGCACCAGGGTTGTTCTCGAGTTGGGAGAGAATGCTACCCATGCCGCTATCGATGCGAGCCCGGTGACGGGGCGCAGGCTTCAGCAGGAAGCTCTCCCTCTCACCAAACTGGTTCTCATCCTTCCCGCGCATCTCGAGATCCTCGTTCTTCTTGTTCGACATTGTGGTTTCGTTGTGGGATCGAAAGGTCCAAAACGAAAGGCTCGAGGTTGGTTATCCCATAGGATGGTGATAAGAAAAAAAACTTGCTCGGTGAGGAAGGCTGGCTAATACCAGGAAGGGGCGGTTCAACTTCGCGAGAAACAGAGGAGACAATCGAGACGGCAGATCTGTGACTTAAAAGTCAAAGACAAAAGGAAGGGAGGGAAAAGAGACGGGCGATGGGACCTTGTCAGCAAACTTGACGATTTACTCACTTTGATGCTGGAGAGGAAAGGGCTGAGTTGCGAGGGCGACGCGTTCAAATCCAGGTGTGAAATTGCAACACGAATCCCAGCAACAGGCTTGCCAAATGAGGCTTGGCGGATGGGAACAGGGGTAGGTTGTGCCCGTGAAAGGGGGACGTGGGGCTTGACGAAAGCTTAAATTAGAGACCCTTTTGTGGCGGCATCCCTTTCATCCATCCGACTATCTCTATTATTCACTGTACATCTTGCCAAGTCTTTTCTCTTATTGGTTTAAAAAAGCGCCGGATTAATGTCTAATTAGCCTATAAAACTTTCCACCACTTTTGCAAATATTCTAGATTTTTAAGGCAAATAAATATATTTTACTAGGTCTATTACTATATTCTAGGTGTTTTAATGCAATATTATAATGCTGTGTTCTGTTGTTAGTGGGCTACAGTTTGCCCCTTTGTTACTGTTCACAGTTTTAAGGTGTCGCCAAGCCGGAATCGGTATGTCGGCGTCTGTCTTCCGAATGTCAAACCTGACTTTGCAACTGACCGACGCGGTGCTCCGTATGAACATTGTCGGCGGCACGGGAGATTTGTTCGTCTATATCGCTATTCTTCCTTTGTTATTGCTAAATTTTCCTCATCCAAGCTTCCGAAAAGGAAGGCTCATACCTGCTCGTACAAATGTATGAACGAAAAACACCACAAACAGCGGAAACTGGATTTCGGAATCAACCCAGCTCATCGCACGCAAATGCTCGCTCGTGACTTCGCTCGATCTGCCAGCGCCCTGTCCCAACGCTCACTGCGACGGCGGTGCCATCGCGACACAGTGGCCAGCATGGCCGATCCCCCCCATTCTGCGAGCACGCTACACGCCTTTGCACCTACTTGAAGGACGCGCTGAATTGTATCGAACGTACTAACAACCAGCCTGTGCCAGCAGAACTCTCGAAGATCATTAACGCGGTATGCGACGCCCTCCGCATCCGACAAACCGAAGTTAATGTTACCGCCGCCTGGGGGTTGGGCAGACGAGACGCTGCCAAGGCTAACCCCACGGAGAAAGGATGCACCGGCCCGGGTCATGTGGCAAGCATGCGTCACGTGAGACGCTCGCTAAGCTTATCAGCATTAGTTATACCCACCATGCTTACTACAAGTATCGCTTAGGAGCTGCGAACACGGCAAGCACTCTAAAGTATATAGGTACAGCCTTCCTGTTACGACCGTCTAGTTGGGCAGATGGGATGTGATGGGCTGGTGCTGTTACGAATGATAAATTAACTAGAACCCTAGATGTCGCGCAGCCTCCTAATAGGACGGCCTTCGATATAAGTGAAGACGTTTCGGAACTAAGCGAGTCCATATGGGACGATGACGACCTTGGCTACGAAGCCTATCACGACATGGATACATGATCTGTCTTAGCACAACATATAGAGCGAGCTCAGGATGAAGACTAATTTGTCTTAGCACAATGTACAGAGCAAGCTTGTAACGATTCGCATGAATCGTTTCATCCAAAGTTACCTAACGAACATATATCCAAAGGTTCCGCGTATCTGCCCCGACCCTGCCCTGCCCCCTGCGCTATCCCTTTCTCTAAGTATTTAGCTGCACGTCTCCTCTCAGGTAGCTTAATAGTTTTTTAATATCCTTTTATACTAGGCCTATAGGTGTTCATAGAATCTCTAAGTTTCTAAGTCTCTACACACTCTTATATGCCTTTACGTAGATTTACACTGTATTTAGACCTATTATCTTACCTACACTGTTATATTATAGTTAATTGCAGTAATTACATACAGGGGTACCACGCCAGACGCAGCTACCGATGCGGCGTCTGGTACCCAAACTCCAGCGTCTTCGGTGGACTCCGACATCATTCAGAGAATCGATCCCCGCCTGCTATCAGACAACCGGAGGCAAGGCCAGAAAAGGTTAAAGGGCAATCAGCTGGACAATCTTGAGGATAATCGTTTGTTGCCCTAGAAGATGATGGCCCATGGCCCAGATGTCGACGGAGTAGTTGGAGTTCTCCAGCTCGAGCTCCGGGGCTAGGTAGCTGGCCGTGCCGACCGTGCCCGGCTCGGGCCGCAAAGAGCTACCCCGCCTGGATGTGCCTGGACACGCCGACCCTCCAGCAGAACGGAGCGGCGCGGCGCGCTAACGAGGCCAATGTTTGCTGGCTTCAGGTCTCGGTGCACCCAGTTCTCCTCGTGCATGACTTTGACACCCATCAATGCGTCGCGGAATGCAGACGCTGCCTCTATCGTCATGCCCTTGGACCCTCTTTCGATCTTCTTGTCAGTTGACATCTCCATGGCGGAAGAGGAAGCTTACCCCTTGCTCCGAATCCCCATCAAGTCCGCGAGGCTCTGAGGCGTCATCGGCTGTAAAACAATGGCAACGTTGTCAAAGGCTGTCCTGGACGAGAACTTCTCGCCGTTGGAGTAGAGCACGTCCGCCGTCCGCAGAATCCGCTCGCCGTCATCCGACTTGCTTGCAAAATCAGTCACTCTCTGTAATGTCTCGATTTCTTTATCCACACTGTGATAATTCCCAGAAGTCCTGTCAGTAAAGCGTAGAATCATGAATTTTGTATTTCAATTTTCGCCCCGTAGGTCCGAAATGCGAGGACATGTGATTCCTACTAAGAGTACAGAGTGGACAGTATTGCACTTCACAATTCTTACTCGGGATAAAAACGTGCAGTTCTAAAATAATTTAACACTCCTAAAATTATCAACTCGTTCGGATTGCCTTGCTATCGCAGGTTGTGTTGCGTTGCTTGGCAAATGGGACCAGAAATGGACGCCGCTGTTCTTAGGCTAGGAAGCGAGGTGTCCTAGTTTTGGGAAACTGCTCGACTCCACTCATCATTTGGCTGGGCGCCTTAATTTTACAAAGGATGTTAGCTTGAAATAAAGCAGCCAATAGTAACATGTTTGTCTATTTTTCGAAGGGTTTAGAAATGTCCCCTTTTCTATTTCTCACACCCGGAGCGTTAAGTCCCGGAATAGGGCCAAAACTGGAGCACAAGATGAAAAATATAAATTTGTATAGAAAATGGCCCGTTCGCTTCTCGTCCCCTTAAACTTAGCAGAGGCCTTTCGACGTTGCCGTGCTCTCTTCGAGAAGCACAGCAACGTTGAAAGGCCCAGTTCCGTTAGAGTCTCAGACTAAGGAAAAAGCAAGCTGTAAATACAACGCATCCATTAAAGGGAGTTATAGAGATAGCGATTCCGGCCAAGGAAAGATAAAAGGGTACTTCTTCTGTCCCCGAAAAAGGCATAAACCGTTGATCCACTTCTTAGTTCTTAGGCTTACTAGTTTGTCGCATACGTCAACACCAACTTCTACGGACACGTATTTAGCAAGAGTTTTACATTGCATCGTGTCTTCACTCTGCTTCTTTGTCCGAGCCCATGAGGTAAAGATATATGTTGGTCCTGGACATTGCAACTCACTACGATCCCTAGCAAACATTGCACCGTAAGGTATGCCTCGCCCTGTTGTAGGAAAACCTCCGACAGGGCGAGCGAGTTGAAGATATTTTCCGTCATCCATTGCATCGACTATGGAAGTGGCCATTATATCCATCACAAAAGTTGATGGCCAATCGTCGCGCGAAGTTGATGGATTATGATGTTTTAAATAAAATATAAGATCGTCTCTTAGGCGCTTATAACGTCGATTTTTTCGCTGCTTGAGCACTGTGACGAGATCAAACAAACGACCCCGCTGGTAGTCGTTAAGGCGACCTTGAAACACATCCCTTTGGCGTACAATCTTGCCCTTGGAGTCTTCGGAGGAGCAACGGTTTTGTAGACGACCTGGCCGAATTAGATCCGATAGTTTCCAGAGGATTCCTTTCGTATGAATGCCAGCTTCCGAAAGGCTGCTAACTGAGAGTCGGCAATGTTTGGTGAATGTCGGTACTCCATCCCGCAAGGGAGCATTTATATCTATTGCATGCGTCTCAAGGAACTTGAATACATTCTCGAAAGGCGTCGCCTCCTTGCAATTGTTCTTGAGTATTTCGCCATTTGCGATATAAAGCGTAAGGAGGCTTAAGCTTAAACTCGAATTGAAAGTTTTGCCCTTTATAGTCGGGATTCGAGTGCTATAACCACAGACATTCGCGGCAATTGCGAGAAGATCCGAGCGGACCTTAATTTCGCGCTTGTCAAGGTCTCTAAAAATGTCAAGTGTCATAGCTTTTGAGATATTGCTCCTACGACCTCTGTATTTGCAGAGTATGTTGTATTTGCCAGCTTTTGAGATAACTTTCTCGCACTTGCGACTTCTGTTTTGATCCGTCTGAGGCAAAGCTAGGCAGAAAAGAGTAGCACAGTGCTTGAATATTGTTGACTTGATTGCCACCTCGCCTGAGAGATCTCCAAGCACTTCTCTCGCGCATGATTTGTCAAGTCCACGCGCGTGGCGAATGAGAAGCCACATTTTCTCCCCAGCCAGGTAGTCTTCTTGATATATCCAAGCTCTATTCCACCACTGGTCGTCTGTAATCCGAACTAGTAGGTCTAAGACTTCGTCCGCCGTCTGATCATTGATTTCTTTTTGCAAGAACGGCTCATCGCACTTGCTATTGACAAGTTGACCACTAAGGAGATTTGCCAGGTGATTCATTTCGACTTGTGTTTCAATCTCCACCCAGAGATGGCCAACGGCGAATTTGCATTGCTTGTAAACGAGGTCCATAGATTGCATCCCCTCTTGCCGAGAGGGTTCTTCTTGGGTGATTGATAGCTTGTCAATCCAGAAAGGAATCATATCACGACGTCTTCGCTTATATCGAATGAATTGGATTATCCGATCAAGGACAATGTTGCGCACCTCGACCAGGGCATTCGTTTCTTGAAGCCGGTATGCACCCTTGCTGTCGTTCTCGCCCTTAGCTGGCTTCCACGGCCAGGACACAGCTACATATCCTTCAGCTGGTGGACCCGACTCATACAACTTCACTATAGGCCTTGTTTGTTCGTTATAGTGGTAAACATGCCAGCCATTGTCCATAGTCTCTATGGGAAGGAAGCATTTCAAATTTTTCAGAAACTCAGTCGACTTGTGGTTTTCTTGCCGACGGTCCTTATATTCCTCTAAGATGGCATCACGCAGAGGCTTTCCAGTTTGGGTACGCAGCCTCGCTAAATAATCCTTTGTGTCGTCTATAACAGCGTTAGAGACTGTAGACCTGCTTATGATTTAGATATATTGTATCAGAGATTGGTTATCAGAGGGATGAAGTGTGCTGAATGCTACTAAATGCTAGGTCTAGTTATAGGGAATCGGTTAAATACCTACATTCTGTATTTTTTATCAACGCTGTGCCTGCAAATTCAAATATTTAGAACTCGACGTGAGAAGGGAGCGTAAGTTATACACTTATTATAAAATAACTAAATCTCAAGTATATAAGTATGGGGTGAAGAGTGAGTAGTGTGAAACCTGGAGTAGTGTGAATATTTAAGTCTGAGGTGAGTCAGACTAGCTAGGCAGCAGCGCTCAATAGTCGGTGAGGCTAAACCTAAAGCGGGGCTGGCTCGCGCGCTTTGTCGTGTGCGAAATTTGCTGGATTATTGGCAATGCTAAGTAACCACTTTTCCCTCACAAATCTCATAGAGATTCAGGTAACTACGTATATCACCCTATAGAATTAACTACAACATGTTTTTATTATCAGTAAAGCTTTTTAAATGTATAGATAGGGCATATATAATAAATTTAACAGAGTAATTGTAACGATTCTCATGAATCGTTCCATCTCGGGTTGCCCGGAACCTATCCGAAGGGTCCCCATATCAGCTCCAACTCTGACTCAGCCCTGACCCTACCCCTGCTGTTACAGGGCCCTCTCATAAGCAGGCGACTAGCGTCAGCACGGCCTTGGTCCGTGCATAGAATCGCCATGAAGCTTCTAGATAAAATACACAGATTTATATAATGTAGGCTATACAACTAGAAGTAACTTTTCTACTACTATTATCTACTATAATGCTAAAAACGCCTCTCTGTTAACTTACCTACAATGAACGCGTTTAAATCTATACACTAGTTAAGCTAGAATAGAAGCAGACAGCTATTGCCTATAAACTTAGTATACTTTAGAGAACTATTTTTTATTATCTTTACTTACTATATACCTTTATAAAATAAAAGAGTAGAAGCTTTATACTAAATATACTTTTTTAACACCTTTTTATTTAGCATGCTATTTAGAACGCTAAACAACATTAAAAAACTTAAAAAAAGATAGCCTATAACGTACTTCACAGGCAAGTTGCTCACACACCTAAGTTACTTACTTTTACTAAGACCCTACTAAACTACTCTTTTTATACTAATGCATTCCCTACAACACTACTTAGACGTGCTAAAAAAATGTTAGATATAGCTTACACTCTAAGCTTTTAAACAAGATATAAAACTTTTAAAAAAATATGCTATAACTATATATAAAGTTTTATAAAAGATAATAAATAACTATAGCGCTAAATAACTTTTATAAGCTAATTCTATAGCTAAATTATAAAAGCTAAGTAATAAAAAAAAGTAAGTAATTATTAAGACTATACTTAAGCTATATGCGCAAGGAATTTTCTCTTAGATAGCATTTATAGCTAATATAGCTAATTCTTTGCGCGCTAAGTGTAATCTAGGCTATGTTTACATAAACTAGCTTAGTATGTTTATAAAGTGTTATTTAAAGCTTAAAGTAAAGTTTTAAGTATAAGTATAGTTAAAAGATATTTAGTTAATTATAAACTTTATTTTATTAAAGTTATATATGTTATTATTCTAGATACTATACTTAGCTTTAATATTCTCTATAAGGCTAAACTTGCTTTAAATTACTTTAGAACTTTTATAAAAAGCTTTTTTATAGTTATACTTATACTTAAACATTACTTTAAGCTTTAAATAACACTTTATAAACATACTAGGCTAGTTTATATAAACATAGCCTAGATTATGCTTAGCGCGCAAAGAATTAGCTATATTAGCTATAAATGCTATTTAAAGAGAAATTTCTTATGCATATAGCTTAAGTATAGTCTTAATAATTACCTACTTTTTTTTATTACTTAGCCTTTATAATTTAGCTATAGAATTAGCTTATAAAAGTTGTCTAGTGCTATAGTTATTTATTATTTTTTATAAAACTTTATATATAGCTATAGCACATTTTTTTAAAAGTTTTATGTTTTATTTAAAAGCTTAGAGTATAAGCTGTATCTAACATTTTTTTAGCACGTCTAAGTAGTGTTGTAGGGAATGCATTAGTGTAGAAAAAGTAGTTTAGTAGGGTCTTAGTAAAAGTAAGCAACTTAGGTGTGTAAGTAACTCGCCTGTAAAGTACGTTAAGCTAAAAATTAACATTTACTATTAATTACGAATTAAAGCTTTTAAAAAGAAGCTTTATTATTATAAGAAAGCTACATGTAAGCTTCTTCTTACTAAAAAACACAAGGCTGTAAGGCTATAGCAGGCATAAAAGCACCTTAGCTAGTCTAAAGCTATGTAGGATAGAGTAGCTTAGGCTAATAAAATGTTAGCTAAAGTAGTCTTAGTGTCACAGTCAGCATGCTCAAGCTACAAGCAAGAGGTGGTGTAACTTAACTAGATTAAACTAAGGAGCAGAGGAGCTGCTCTGCGAGTTTAAATATACATGTGTGCCCCCTGCCAAGGCGCTACTCGTAGCACTAGCGTGCTACTTGTTGCGCAAGCGAGGGAGCTGATGCCGCAGAGCATGTGACGCAGTACGCGCTGTCACACTTAGAAAAAAATCTAAGTTACTTAAAGAGCTAAAAAGTGCTTTTTATCTAACTACTACATTTCTAAGTTTAAGAGGCATAGTAGTTATATAGTGTAAAGCATTATCTTAATAAATAATAAAAGGCTTTTAGTATTCTTTAAGAATAGCTAGTGTATAAATGCTAAAGGTATAGTTAACTTAAAAGTTTATATTTAACACATTCTACGTTAAATTACTACCTACTAGTAGGTATATAAAACTTACACTAGTAAAGAGCTTATCTTTATAAAAGATAATAGCTTTATATATAAATTTAAGGCTACTATAAAGGCTTATAAAACGTAAGGAATTATAAAGAACTAGTAGCTAGCAAACTTGCTAGATCTTAATCTAATTAAAAATGTGTTGCATACAGCTATCTGTAAGGACGGAGCTCTGTACCACTACGCTAATACAACTAAAAAGGTGCGAATAATCAACTAACAGTTAATTATTGCGTACAGAATAGTATATATACCCGTCGCACGTAAGCACCATCTTGGCCTTACACGTAAGCGCCATCCTAGCCTTACATTATCCCCCTTCTTAGCAGACGCATGTCCCAGGCGTCACATGACCTACCCGCAGCTCAGAGGCGCCTATGCGCATGTCTCAGTTACCGGCCAGAGGCTGACCACCTGCGGCCCAGAGGCGCGGGATAAACACAACGCAACGCTTAGTGGCCCACGCCAGCTAAGCTATATACACTAGACCTCCTAGCAGCAACAACGTGGCGCTAGAAGAGGCTGCCTTACGTTTTAGTCTAAAAACTAGCTAAGCTGTCTAAGGTGTAAGTTAAACGCACAACTATCCTTGTTATTAGTTAATTATTATATAAGAACAGAGCTCTATACTACTACGCTAATATAACTAAAAAGGTGCAAATAATTAACTAACAGTTAATTATTGCGTACAGAATAGTATATATACCCGTCGCACGTAAGCACTATCTCGGCCTTACACGTAAGCGCCATCCCGGCCTTACACTATCCGTCTATATATCCTTCTGCTGCACTAGCTAGGAGGTTAACCTTTTAGCAAAACGCAGCAGTTATAAGCCTAGTTTGCAGCGTAGTGTAGATAGCTAGCGCTTAAAAAATTTTGCACCTCTATTCTACTAATAGAAACGCATTATCCTTAAACACTATGTGTTTAATTCCTACGCTTAGCAAAAAGCATTTAGGTAGTGCGCTTATTATAGAGGCTACTTTACTAGATCTGTCTCTAAGTTCTGTTGCTTAGGCTAGGAGGGTGTGTTAAGGTTGTTTGCCTTGTTTCACCTCTCTTGTTCTATAGTTTAAGCTGGGGTGTGTGCCGCATACAGCCATCCGTCTATATATATCCTTCTGCTGTGCTAGCTAGGAGGTTAACCTTTTAGAAAAACGCAACAACATGTTTAGCAGATGCTAAAGTATAAGCTTAAAAAGTGCTTTTTAAAGATAAATAACAAAGTATAGTAGTTTCTAAAGAAGAAGTAGAAGAAGATTAAAATTAAAAATACTACAACAGTTCATAAATGATCTGTAAAAGCAAAGCTTGCTTAGAGTAATTATCACAACTGCTAATTAGAGAGCAATAAGAAGCAAGTCTATTAACTATAAGAGGCTTATAGAGAGCTTAGGCGCTAAGTGTCTTAGGCTGCTTGTCTGAAACACAGGCGCAACACTAAGCCTATGTGTGCGACGCAAGGTCCCTGTGCTCTTCTTACGCAACAGTAATAGTTAGCGCATTAAAGTAGGTTATCTAGGTTAAAGAATAGTTACAGCATAATGCTTAGCAAAGTAGTATTAGA